TAAACTATTGAAAAAGAACATCCCGTTTAATTGGACCAATGCGCAACAACAGGCGTTTGAATATTTGAAGAACTGTCTCATTTCTTCTCCCATTCTTACGTATCCTCAATGGAACCGACCTTTTATTCTGTTTACCAACGCGTCTACGTTTGCCTTGGGAGCTGTGTTATCGCAAAAGGACGAAGACGGTAACGAACAGGTTGTTGCGTATGCTAGTCGCTCCTTACTACCCGCTGAAAAGAACTACACCGCTACTGAACTGGAATGTTTGGCCGCTGTTTGGGCCATTGGAAAATTTCATCATTATCTGCACGGAAGCCACTTTTCGCTTATTACTGACCACTCTGCGCTTTGTCATCTATTTAATATGACGACTCCAAACGGAAGATTGGCCCGTTGGGTCATGAAACTACAATCGTACGATTTTGATACTATTCATCACGCAGGAAAAAGACACTCTAACGTAGATAGCTTATCGCGCATCCGATAGAAGTAAAATCTTTTTCCAAAAAATACCCGGGACACACGCATTTTTTGATTTTGATTTTCGGATTACCCTATTGATTTAACCCAGCCATGGATACGGATACATACTACCGATTGATACGATACTTGGATGACTTAACGCTACCTGCAGACTTCGATACTACTCAATTAAGGAATTTTAAGAATAAAGCCCGCAGTTATATAATAAAGAATGGCATATTATACCGACGAAATATAAGAAATCCTCAACGACCGATGCGAGTGATCAAAAAGAATGAAATGGAAATAATATTGCGTGGCTTCCATGATGATCCACTCGCTGGACATTTTGGATTCAATGAAACTTTTCGCGCAATAAAGGAAAAGTATTTTTGGCCCCAGATGGGCGACGACATCAAAGCTTATGTACAAGCATGTGATACTTGTCAAAGAAGGAAGCGGCCGATCAAAACCGAACCTCTTCACCCTATTAAAGTGGGTCAACCTTTCGACCGGATTGGGATGGACATCGTGGGACCCCTACCATTGACCAAGAAAGGCAATCAGTATATTGTAGTAGCCACCGAATATCTGACAAAGTGGCCAGAAGCACGTGCTCTTCCGGACGCAAAGGCTACTTCGGTAGTCTCGTTTTTCTACGAAGATATTGTTTGCCGCCACGGGTGCCCCAAGGAATTGTTAACCGACCAAGGGACACACTTCGTTAACGAGATGCTCGATTCGTTGTGTAAACGCCTTGGTATAACGCACCGATTGTCTGTTGCCTATCATCCACAGACGAATGGTCTCGTAGAAAGGTTTAATCGGACCCTTTGTGAACTTTTAGCGAAATATTGTATAGAAAGAAAAGATGATTGGGATTTATTCATCCCTTCGGCTTTGTTTGCCTATCGAACCATGCGTCAAAACACTACCCGTTATGAACCTTTTTACCTCACCTATGGGCGAGACGCAGTATTGCCGATCGAACTGGAAGTTCCAACTTATCCTTTTGAGGATAGATCCGATCGAGGCTTTGAAGATTTATATTTCCGACGATTAGGTCAGCTAGCCGGAAACTTGATTGATGATCGACAGCAAGCAAATGAGAATATTCAACATGCGCAAAAACGGCAAGTAGAACGACATAACAAACAAATTAAGGAACACCGGTACCAAATTGGTGAAAAGGTCCTATTACGCAACTTTAGAGCCAAGAAACTAGACTCAAAGTGGCATGGCCCTTATTACATTCATGATGTGAGACCAAACGGAACTTACAAGTTAAGGACCTTAGAGGGAAAACTTCAGAAAAAAGTTGTCCACGCAGACCAGATTCGCTCATATTATGAAAGAACGATTACTAATTAATAGCGTGAGAAGAGACCAGCCAAAAGACATTTAAATAGCCGTGACTCTTCAAAGGACGAAAAATGACAGTTATCATGGAAACCTTCTCCGAAAAGTTCAAAGGACAACTGAAGGCTCTCTTACAATTGTGGTTAAAGGAAAAAGGGGAGTATGAAGAGTTTCACATCACCCCAAAGAATTTGTTGCTTTCTGATGCCGAAAGAATCATTTCTATTGATTTTAAGACGATTCTAGACTACGATGAACAAAGCGAAATCGTGCATCGTTGTAAGATAGACCTTCATCACCTGACAAATTACGAGTATCAAAGACCGAATTATCTTGGAGGGAACGAAGAAGAACTATTGAGGAAATTAACCCGAATGATACGACAGACCACCTTCCGACAGAAAAGCGTTCACGAAAGATTAGAGGTCTATTATTATTTAGGCGAGCTCTTGTCTCTTCGAGGATGGAAGAAGAAGGACTATGGAATCCTTCAAGAACAAGTTGGACAACGATTCGCTAAAGATGTTAAGAAAACTTCTCGGAGAGTTTACGAACTCTTCGCGATAAGAGGAGTCCAATGTCTGACTAAAGTCGCCTACATTTGCCCGACGAGTTTAACTAAAATGAGTGAAGGAGACTTTTATGACGAATTATTACCGGAAGCTCGACGAATAATGCGCGAAACCTTGTAGAAGGTTCGCAGGGGCTCACCCTTCTTCAGGGGGTAATGTCACGGGAATTTTTTATATAGTTATTCTTATATGATTTATTTTTTTATAGTATATTTTATTTATTTATTTATTTATTTATATTTAGTTTATTTTATTTTTATTTGATATAGTTTATTTATATAGTATAGTTTATTTTATTTATATAGTTTATTTATACAATTTATATATATAGTTTATAGGAAATGTGGCGTATGGCTTGGTGGGAATCAATTATGGCTGTGATGGGAGATTCGTACAATGGACGATTTGACCGGAAAACGAGTTGTACTTTGGACGATTTGAATAAAGGGCGAGTTGGCCAAAGCACTAATCGTCCCAAATTTTGAATAATATTTAAGGGAAGAAATTCCGCTGAGGTTTCGGGGAAGTGATTTTTCGATTATTAACACTTAGATAGAACCTTGGGAATATTACAGAGCGCCGGCAGAGGCAGTAATATTAGGAAATTCTTTTGTAATTGTTAATAAAGAACCCGCCGATCACTCCAATTTTATACATTTCGTTATTGTTTTTATTGTCAATTTTATTTCCGATTGTTATACATTCAATAAATATACATTGTTTATAAATCTATTGCTAATTGTTGATAAACCCTACCCATTTCCTCACGATTTATTGCCGATTACTGCCTATTGTTAGTCAAATTCTATAAATTAACCCGTATATATTTCTGTTACTGCCCTCCCGAACTACACAAATCGGTGGTAACACTATCTAAAAGTGAACGGATATATCCGTAATCCTAGGATATTCACTGAATAACCCATTAGGATCATTCACCGGATCTAAGCTCTACAATCAGGCATCATATTTTATGAATTGTTCCTGGGCATCCCTGACGACAAAAATGGTGATCGATAAAGCAACAATCTCATTGGCAGTAATTTTTTAGTCAACAATAATTTTAGTCAACAATAATGAATTGTAATCACGACTTTCATTGTAATCGCGAAGGATTTCAAATACAGAAAGCGCCGTACTGGTAGTAGTACACTACTACAGTACATCACTTGAACAAATATCATATATGCGGATTCTTCACAGATAAAGGAACTCCTTCATTAGAATATGGATCATTCATTATATTAATACCAAGAACATAATAATTTTTTAACGGTCTATTGAGCTTTTAAAAAATCGAAAAAATAAGCTTTATTGTGTATTTGTATAAAAATCATTTGCTATGATCTTGTATCAATAAATTTTGAAGAATTATATTCTAATCAGTATATTGCTGTGTGCTGGTGGTATGACGTGTTTGATTTATAAAGTGAAATCACTAGCATGCAATTTACGCAACCTGCTGTGACAAACGTGTCCACTCACTTCATTCATGTCCAGAAACAATTATACTTCTTAATAACGAAACAGCCGAAAAGGTTTTTCACTGCATTTTTTTGTCCACATCAAGCCTGATACATAAACGTGTTTACTTGAGGTATAAGTGCTTTCTCATTGCTCAAGCAATTCAAAGTGTAAGATACTACTTTTTTCTCAGCGAAAATTTATTGATCATTTTCATATAATAGCTTACAGTAATATTGAACATGAACGAAGAGAATAATATGGAACTCGCCTACCCACTTCGATGATATCAAAAACAAGTATCGGTACATTGAGGTCTACCTGTATTTTTTTGATTACCCATCTTTTATTAGATAAATTGGAGTTTCCTAATAGTCGTCCGTATTTATATTTTTATGGGCAATGTTTGTTTAAAAGGATAAACTAAAAAAAGTCTATCGGTAGTTTAAAACTGTATACGGGACGTTAGTTCATGGATCAGCCTTGATTTCATTATCAACACGGCTCCGCCGTGATAATTTATGGCTTTCCTGAAATAACTATTAACTACTGATTCTTTTCAAACGAATATTATAATAATGTTAAATTCAATTGGTTAAAATCCGTTCGTGCGCAGAAGCTAGTGAAGCTTAATGAAGTGAGACTCCGCCAATCAAGAGTAATAAAAAAAGCAAAATATTTATATTATATTGGGACGCATTCATATTTTCATATTATTATTCATATTATTTATAGGGTGAAGATCAAATATTCCAACTTGCTAAAGTCAATCAGTACTATACTGTAAAAGTGTAAACCGAAAGTTCCTTATCAAAAATATCGATCAATCATATGATGAAGAAGAAATAAGGTACGTTGAAACCCAGAAATATTAGAATATGACATTCTTCGTTTCTTTAGAATTGGAATCTTGATATTCGTCATATTCGTCATATTCGTCATATTCATCGCAAGTGTAAAGCCTTCACCTGATTCACATCAAAAACATTTGATAAATCAATTTATCTTTAATTGGCACGTAAATACAATATTTATTATTCATATACTTCAAAAATGGATAATTTTTATAAAAATTTCATAAATATATTCTTTTTTATTTATATTATAAATATTCTTAATACATCAAAATATTAATATCATACATAAATACATATTAAATACTAAATACTATATAATTCTTAATTATTCGTGGAATTTTTTTTTTTTTAAAAAAAAAAATGAAAATTAATACTTAATTATATTATTTAAAGGAATTATCATACTATTATTATTTTATATGATTTCTTACCTTCATACCCATAGAAGTATATCTTTCACCAATAATTTCAAAAGAATCAATTATTTGCCTAATTTCAGATAATTCTTCGGAATTAAGTTGAACTTTTGCTGCTTCAAGATTTTCTTCTAAATATTTAATACTTCTCGTACCAGGAATAGTAACAATATTATCACTCTATAAGAACGTAAATTATAATTAGCATATTTGTATTAAGAAAGAATAAAATTATTGGTTATATTTTTACCTGAGCTAGAACCCAAGCCAAACAAAGTTGACCTGCTGTTATGCTTTTTTTACTTGCAAATTCAGCAAATTTATCTGCAAGTTTTAGATTTTTAGCAAAATTTTCAGGTTGAAAACGAGGATGAGTTCTCCTAACATCTCCCGGTTCAAAATCATCGATAGATCTATATTTTCCCTAAAAATCAATAAAAAAAAAAATATTTATTAATTAAAAATTCGTCTGATAAAAAAAAAATTATATCATCAAATATTTAAATGATAAATACTGTTAGGAACCCACGTCCAAGTGAACCATAAGCTACTATAGTGATACCTAATTCCTTACAAGTCTCCATAATTCCATTTGTCTCAATATCAAGAGACCAAGGACTATATTCGATCTAATAAAGCGTGAATTTAAGTATATATATATTTTTTTTTCGAAAAAAACAATTTATATATGTATATTTACTTGAACAGCGGCAATAGGGTGAACTTTATGAGCACGTCTAAGAGTTGCCGCAGAACATTCAGAGAGACCGATATATTTAACTTTTCCTTCTTTAACAAGTTCTGCTAAAGCACCAACAGTATCTTCAATAGGTCTATAAAAAGGTATTCGATATATTAATTATTTATTTCAACTCTAAAAAAAAAAAAAAATAGATTTATTCTTACGTATCAGGATCCACGCGATGTTGATAATAAAGATCGATGCAATCTATTCCCAATCTTTTCAGAGAATTATCACAAGCTTTACGAACATATTCAGGTTTACCCGTTACATTTGATGCAATTACATTTAAAACATTTGGATCTCGAACTATACCAAACTTTGTACAAATAAAAACATCATCACGACGGTCTTTAAGAACTTTTGAAATGAGAATCTCATTCGCACCACTCCCATACACATCCTTTTTTACATTTTTACATAAAAAATAATTATTTGATTTAAAAAAAAAAATCTTTTTATACATTAAAAAATTAGAAAATTTTTTTTAGATACGAACGGAAGTATCCCAAAAGTTACATCCTAATTCCAATGTTCGATTCAAAACTTTAATATTTTCTTGTTCATCAGATGAACCGTAAAAATCACTCATACCCTTTTATTTAGAATAGGTTAATTATTAAGAACGTGATCAATTAAAATATTTTTAATTTTTTTTTTTCGATTATTATAAAACATACCATACATCCAAAACCGATTGCAGGAATTTTTACACCAGTTTTTCCAAGTTCACGAAGATGAAGGGCCATTTTTACGATTAAGGGATAAAATTTTTAGGAATTTTGTTCATTTAAATAATGGTCAATTTCCGGGCCGATATAACCGATATGTGCGACCTTATAAATTCCTAGATTACGTAATAGTGTTACCGTGTTGCCGATTATGCTATTATTTACCGTTCATACGATCAAATTATTAATTAAAAAATTCATATTAACTATTGATATAAATAATTATATTTTAACGAAAAATAAGGATGAACTCATACAGTATATGCAAGAACCCAAAACCGTAAAACTAGTTTCAAAAGGACGTCTTGTATAAATCTATTGGCCCTTTAGCAGAACTTGTTAAATTGAACATTTGAATGGTCAAAAAAAATCATTAACGTGCTTATTAAAGTTAATCCAAGGTATTCAAGATATTAATTTATAATTATTGTATATATTCCAATTCTTAATAAATAAAATCTAGTTCATACCTTGCGTTTCAGGATTCACACGATGTTGATGATAAAGAACGATATAACCTACTGAATCTCCACAAAATTGAACGTTTGATACACTTACTATGCTTGTATATTTATATTACCATTTGAATTTCGAATTATACCAAAATTCGTATGTATAACTAAACACTTTATCGCGACGGTCTTTGAAAAGAGAATTTTTTCGCTTCATTTCTCAAAAGGTTATAAGGGTCTGTGCTAGAAACTTTTTAGATATCATTACTACTATTGATATTAACAGTATTAGAAATTCATAGTAAATTAGGATAATCTTTGTCTAAAATCTAAAGAAATTTAATTATCATAGTGCATAATGATTAATAATCGAATGAAATGCACAATGATTAATAATCGAGTAAAAATTTAATTTAACGCTTGATATGAATGATGATTGTTACTAAAAATGTATAAAGTTGGGCGATAACCGACTTAATTATTATTTTTTATTTATTTAATATTTACCTTCTTAAAAAAGTAATTAACTGATTTAAAGTAAATAAGGGAAAATTTCTTAACCCGCAAAGTCAAAGTCGTATACCATTGTGAGAAATCTTTTTTTATGACAAATTAATAATATAATGCATCAATATATTAAAAAAGTTAAGAAAATTTTGTTATTTAAAATATATAAAATATATTCAAGGGAAAAAAAATATAACTATGACGCTTGTTCAATCACAGTAATTCGGTCAGATCGAGGAGTAAGCTGAATTTATCATTATCTAACTTTCAAATAATCCCGTTATGAAAGACGGTGGCCTTGAAACTCTAGGGAATTGGATCGATCTTGTTTGATATTGATGTCTTGCATCTCCTTCATGAACGCATTATACGAATGTATATATTCGATAGTAAATACTTACAAGTAGCTTTTCCGGGTGCTCATTTAATGATTTAATGTTGCGACAGCGGCACTAATACGGCCATTACGAGTTTTTGGTATTTTAGACATAAGTTGTAGTTTGCAACTTTGTGATGCTATTATTATCACTTTTTACCAAATTATTACAGTATTAAATATTGTTCTAAATTCTTTCAGCTCTTGATGAAGGAAAACGTGGGAAAGACAAGGAAGCCACTCCAAAAGTCATCAGCGCTGATCTTTCTATGGTTTTTAATGATCTTATTTCTGCCTTTACCTTTGTTGATGAATCTAAATTAGGCTAAAAAAAAAAGTAAAATAGAGTTAGCCAGCTAAGTGAGCGTAACGTAGTAGTTTCACAGTCTCCCAAAAAGTTGGTGAAAAGCGGCACCTAGTCTCATGATTCATCAAGTGATCTGACAAAGACACAGCAATAGGTCATTGCTTCACACCACCAACTTCTCTCCTAGACATCATTAAAATAGACGTAAGGCAGTATCCATTATAGATTTATAGACCTGCCAGCTCAATAGAGTTGCCGTAACTCCTCTTATCATTGCATCCACTTGTTCTTTTAAATGACCAGGTCCATTGGTTGACTTCACTTGAGTAGGTTAGTCTAGTCTAACGTTCCTCACCTTTCTATTCTTTCCATACTTCTAAAATTCTTTAAATATCGAAGTTAATGAGCCAAAATTTCAACTCTTGAAGAAGGAAAACGTGGGGAAGACAAGGAAGCCACTCCAAAAGTCATTAGCGCTGATCTTTCTTGTCTGATTAAATGGTTTTTAATGATCTTATTTCTGCCTTTACCTTTGTTGATGAATCTAAATTAGGCTAAAAAAAAAAAGTAAATAGAGTTAGCCAGCTAAGTGAGCGTAACGTAGTAGCTTCACAGTTTCCCAAAAAGTTGGTGAACAGCGGCACCTAGTCCCATGATTAATCAAGTGATCTGACAAAGACACAGCAATAGGTCATTGCTTCACACCACCAACTTCTCTCCTAGACATCATTAAAATAGACGTGAGGCAGTATCCATTATAGATTTATAAACCTGCCAGCTCAATAGAGTTGCCGTAACTCCTTTTATCATTGCATCCACTTGTTCTTTTTAATGACCAGGTCCATTGGTTGACTTCACTTGAGTAGGTTAGTCTAGTCTAACGTTTCTCACCTTTCTATTCTTTTCATACTTCTAAAATTCCTTAAATATCGAAGTATGATGACAATAATGAGTCAAAAATTTCAACTCTTGAAGAAGAAAAACGTGGGAGACGAGGAAGCCACTTCATTAGCACTGATCTTTCTTGTCTGATTAGATGGTATACCCATATTATCTGTTATTCGCGAAAGTAGTGTATTCTTATTTGTACCGTTCACTGCTGGAACTTCTTCGTTACAATAAGCTCGTTCATGAAAAAAATAATTTATTTGCGTGAAAAAAAAAAGTTTCAATAAGCCCAAGTTTGGTCGTTCACGAAAAAAAGAAATTTATTTGCGTGAGAAAAAATATAAAAAAGAAAAAGGACTGTATAAATATTTTTTTTTGTTGCACAAACTTAAGTAATATAATTAAAAGCCACAACCTATTTAATATTTTGCGCGTGGTTTCAATTTAATCATGATTTTCCAATTTAACAACCGATAATCACAACTCACAAGCCACTGATTCCACTGATTTTATTTATCATAATATCGGATCTTATTTATACAATGTATTAAAAATATCATTTCGGAATTTCAATAAGTTAAATTAGTCATATTTCAAAATGATCACGGTTATCATTAATAAGGATTTGATCTTTTAAAATAAATAATATATCCGTAAATAATAAATAAAAATCCGATAGTTAGAAAAAATATCGTACTAACGTAGTCAAATTTTATAAAATTCGAAATATTTTAAACTCCTCTACATACATATCTACATACAATGAAACTATCGTCATAAAAATTCTAGAAATGGAAACCGTTATTAAGTCCGAAGTCAAGTTCTATCAAATTTTAATACAATACCATATGTCAACTATATCAACAGCATTTTTTTTACTATAATCGACTATAACCATTTATTCATTTTTTTTTTGAGCGAGTAGTGATAGCTCTTCAGTCCTCTTCGGTCCCTATGGCAGTGTTGGCACTTGGCCGTTTGGCCGGCCAAACTGGCCAAAAAAAATCTTTGGCCGCGGCCAAATGCCAATACAAGTATTAGTATTTTGTTATTTGGCCAAAATTTGGCTAGGGTTGGCCATTTGCCGTTTGGCCATTTTGGCCGGCCAAACTGGCCAAAAAAATTCTTGGCTGCGGTCAAATGCCAACACTGCCTATAGGCTTCAACCTGATTAATAGAGTGAGCCAAAATACTTTACAAAATATAACAATAATTATCATCAATCAATCAACCACACTATTCAACTGGAGCAGGAATATTCATTTACAGTATTGTAAGTGTCAAATTTTTTGTTAATGGTAATATTTTTCTAATACCTCGCTCACGTAAATAATAACTTCTCTGATGATCTCGGAATCTTTAACTTACTACATTTAAAATTATTATTGTGCCTACTTTACCTTAACAAGATAATACTTATTTCGACAATACGATATTCTTATTCTTTTTTAAATGACGATAAAGTGCTGATTTGAAATCGATTGTTAATTTAGGATGTGCCATTAGATGCGTTGAAGTTTATATTATTGACAAAAAGATTCATTAGCAAAATTTTAACTGCGGGCTGTTTTGGCCTCTTTACAAGTCCTTTAAGCAATCAAATGTTGCAAAAACCAATAATTGTTAATTATAAGTTGATCACATCATATCAAAATAGATTAATCCAGTAAATAACAAGTAATAGTTATTTCACGGGAATGTGATGGTAATGAAATTGAGGCTGAATCCGTGAAATAACTAGTTTATACCACGGAAACTTTTAAGGATTCGTGGGCGACACCCTGGATACATAATAGGCTTACGACAGGAATACGGAATCGAGTCGATCAACATGATAAAGTTGATCGAGTTACGATCTTTGAATAATGAATACTATCCAATTTTTAACTACAGATAGACTTTTTAGCTTGTCCTCTTAACTAAATATCATTACATTTCTGCTAAACAATCCTAATTACAGACAATGTAAGAAAAATATTACCCTTTTAAACGTTTATTCTGAACATCGGAAGTAGAAATATATTTTTTAATGTTGTACGATACATACATTTTGGTAAGAATTTCATCGCACTATTTTTGATAATGATAAAACGTAATTAAAACCGTAATTTTTTATTGACCATTTTTTAATCTTACAATATGACTACGTTTTCGAAGAATTTAAAAGTTGTAAAGTCACACAATATCGTAAATGTCCTTTTATCAAAAAAGAAAAAAGATATATATATTATTATCGTTAATATTGCTCAAAATTAAGATAAGATTATAGGTTGCGAAATTACGGCTATATAAGTTGTGGGTGCGAATTGCGAGTTGCGATTGGTAAGGTCTAGTTGCGGCCACATCTCTACCATATTCATTATCAATTTCTCCATACCTTCCGCAGTATTACCGCAGCCCAAAATAGAATATAATAAATTCTGCTTAAAAAAATTCAAAACAATTTCCTAAATGTTTTTATATACGCAAGGCATAGAATCATTTGATTTCTCTAGCGACTAATAAAGGTAAGTACATGGATTTATCCTCCATAAAAGAAAAATCTTTTAACCATGTCTTCCATTTGATTATGAGTTGCGACAGTCTTAGTCAAACATATTTTAATTGGCGCGATTATTCAGAGCGGCAAATATATTAATGTAACAAATACAGAGAATATTCTGAACGTATGTTTGAGTTTGAATAAATAATCGGTCGGAATTATATAAGAAACCCGCCTATGATTTAATTGAAACGCTAAAACATTAATTATCATCCCTTTTCTAAATTTAACGGAATTTTACTATAAAATGTAGTTAATGTAGTTAAAAATATATTATTGTATTTATCATTGTTAGTAAGACCATTATAAATAGAAATGAAGTTGTACAAATTCCTTATAAAGTACAGCATGACCAGCATGTTGTGATAAAAGTAACCAAAGTACTCGTTCGATCACCTATATGAATTCCGATAAATAATAATGCAAATGCAAAGTTATTTTTTTTTCATTCTACATTGTTTTTTCATTATACATTTCCCTTAATTTATTTATTAAATTTTTATTTATTTTTTCCATTTATGCAAAATTATTGAACACGTGAGATTTTCGTTGGCATGTTGCAGTCACGAGATCCCAAAAAAAAACATATGCGAAACCATACAATAATAATTACGGTATGCTTTTCTTTGAATTTCTAAAAAAAAAAAATTTTTTCAAAATAAAAATAAATCTTTTTTTATTTTCATTTTCCTGTTTGGGTAAAAAAAATTTTTTTATTATTATTTTTTTTTTTTTTATAATTTCTATTATTGTCGCTTTTTTGTTCTCCAAATTTGTCACAATTTCCGATAAAATAATAATAATAATAATAAGAATAGTTATTTTTACAGTTTTTAAATTTTACAGTATTATTTATTTATTATTTATTATAATTTAAATTCTTCTGCAGGATTCGTTGTAAGTTGTAAACAGTTGTAACAATTATAACAAGTTAAAAAATGGTTCTACGCTATTCCATGTTTCATTCTCACCCCTTATTCTAAGAATTTTAATTATATATGACACATCCCTTACTATATTTTTTTATATTTGAAAGTAAGAAACTCCTAATAAAGTTTAGATATGATTATGTAAAAAAAAATACTCGCTGCACTTCACATGTCATTAATTAATTTATTGTTTGTCCACCAAACTATAAATGTTTAATGAAAGAGATGGAAAAAAAAAAATTTTTTTTTTTTTCATTAACTTTTAACGGATAATAATATTAAATGCATGCATAGATTATTTTTTTTTAATTAAAATTATTACTAATTATCGTTAATGTATCTCAAAAAAAAAAACGTGGTTGGCTTTTTTCGAATTTTGTTTCTCGAGTTCTTTATCCAAATTTTTCTTTTTTTTTTGGTAGAATAATAGAATAATTTTTTGTAAGATTTTTGATAGGATAATATGGAGGATAATATGGAGGATAAAAATTGCAATTATAACAAGCGTTTAATAATATCTGATATGGATAATAAAAAATTGCGATTATAACAAACGCATAATATGAAAAATAAAAAATTGCAATTATAAAAAACGCTCTAAAAATTTTTTTTAAATATATTTTTTTTCGTTATCGTTACGCTCTTTGAAAGTTCGCGAGTAAATGTATAAAAATATATATATAATGCATTTTGTTAAGGTAATAAAAAAAACATTTTATTCTCGTAAAAAAAAAAAAAAAAAAAAAAAANATGTTAATAATGAATATAAAAAAATAATAATTATGCTAAAGATAAAAAAAAAAAAGCGTTCTTTTGTTCAAAAGTCACAAAAGTCACATATATATAATATTACCCATATATATTATTATACAAGGTGTTTCTAAAAAAAAAAATAAAAAAACACGAGAAAACCCAACGCTCACAAGTAAATTTTTTACAAGAAAAAAAAATAAATAAATTAATTAATTAATAAAATAAAATAAAATTATACACTGTATAAAAAACACCTTTTTATGTATAGAAAATTTTAAATCAAATGTACAAAAGAACGCGTTAAAATAAATTAAATTTCTTTCTTTTCAAATTTTACATAATTATTTTTAAAAACTGTACATTCTAAGTACATTTCTAGATTAATTCCATGACATTAAGATACTTGAAAATAAAATTGTAACCATCAAATTACCAATTCCATACTTAAATTTATAATTCATAGCCGAACTAACAGCTTGACTGCTAGAAGTTCCACCAGGTATCTCGGGACTAGTAAAAGTTTGATTAAATACACTCTTAATAAAAGAGACTGATGCATTAAATCTGACAGGGGTAGCAGTTGGATTTGTTAATAAAAGACATTGACTCTCTTTAAATTCTAGGGGTAAATCACCCACATCTTGATCACAAGCTTGTACAGGTTTTTCATAACATGATAATGATGGTATATAAGTAAAAGAGTTTGATGTCTTTCCTATATATGTCATCAAAGCATTATAAGTAAGTTGAAATACGTTTAATGCTGGTCGAAATTTTGGTAATGGCATTGGTGGATCTCCTGGAACTGCTTTACCAGGAAGTCCTTCTGTTACTGGAGTTGTCTGATCATCCAAAACTTTTACTGAAAAGCCTAATGATTTAAAAAGTAAAAGGGTAAATCAATTTATTACTCAACCATTTAAATTATATAATATAATCATTTTTATACATACTCATATAATCAGTGTTGAAACTACTACATAAATACCATGACCCATTATAAGGTGGAACTTCTGCAATTCCCATGTAAATGTCACTATCCCCATAAATTCCGTTGACCTAAATTAATAATTATTTTCGTCAATTACGAAGATTTATCTACGTAAATTCTTCAAGAGAAATAAATGTTCGATATATAATTTTACCTGGAATGCTAAGAGAACAGTAATGATGAGAGCAATGAAAGAATTCATTTCCACAAATGTTCTTTTTTTTAAAAAAAAAAACAAAAACAAAAAATAATAAATTGCAAATTTATATATGAGATATCGTAAAAAAGATTGTTTGTGTCGTCGTTGTTAAAAAATGTAAGAGAATTAAAAAAGGAATTAAAGGAAATTAAAAATCAAAAAAAGAAAGTGAAATTTATATGGAATTGATATATGATGGTTAAAAATAAAGAGAAGGAAAGAGAAAAATTAATTAGGATTTGAAATAATGAAAAAAGAAAAAAAAAAAAATTTTCGGTGGCTAAAATCAACGGTTATAAATACATTTTTAGTTAAAAAAAGTTTTTTATTTGTACAGATTTTATAAAAAAAAAAAAATTGCTTATAAAAAATGTAGCGCTACATATATATTACAGTACTTTCAATTCTATATACAGAAATTATATAATAATCTAATAAAAAAATCAATATATCTAAAAAATCAATATATAATACCGATCATATATTAATAATAATTTCAATTGTTTAAAAGAATTTTGACATAAACAATGTTCTTCTTTATAATTGCAAGTTTAAAAAAGTTGGTTTAAATTGTGAAATGTGAGGGGAGGGGAACGGAACGGGGGTTGGGTTAGTGATACTTTGAATAACTTGTCATTTTGCGTAAAAAATGTGATTGGTTACACGGAAATTTATTCTGCATTTTTTTGTTTACCTAAAGTGGATCAAAGGGGGGAGATGATGAATTTCGATTGCCTGTTTGTTGTTATGAAGCAATACAAAGATTAATATTATCACAAAAATTCCCGAAATACAATAACAGTAATTTACTATGGTAATTATAATGAACAATTGATTTAATAAACAAAGGTAAAATATATTATACAGTTTAAGTACAGTTTAAGTACAGTTTAAGTATATAAAGTATATAAATTTCGTATTTTTTAGGGCAACTTTTTTAATTTTTTTTTTTATATAATAAATATAATAAATATATAAAATTAGGAAATTTTTATTTTTAAATTTTTTAAATTTTTTAAACGAATAAAACGAATAAAACGAATAATAATTCAAAAAAACATTCATTATAACATACATCAACATGCTTTTTGTTTACAAAATTTTATCTCTCGGAATGACTGAGAATGATTAGGGTTTTACATTTTTTACATTTAATTAATAAAAAAAAAAAATCACAAACAATTAAATCAAAATTAATTTTTTTTATAAAGCCAGCTGAATTATGTGAACGAATAAAAATTCGAATATATATAAAAAAAAAAAAGTATAATATGAATAAAATATTACAATAATAAAATCAAACCTGTTGGTTTATATTAAAATAGTCGATTGTTTTTTTTTCAAAAGATTAAAGTTTGATTGTTTACCAAATATGTAAAATAATAAGGAAATTTTTATTATTAATTATTGGATTAATTGCCGGTAAATTGTTATTGTGATGAACAACACATAAAAATTTTTCTAAAAAGAAATCGAATTTCCTGAAAATAGGGTTTCTCTTAGAATAAATTATAGGATTCATTCATAAAGAAAACTCTTAGAAGAATGAACCCAACAAATTGATTATTACAATGCCAACTTAAGAAATGTATTTTATAAATGAATATATAAAGCCGTAACGGGTAATCTAATTTTGTATATTACTATGATGAATTCTTGTGTCACCTTTCCTAGAATATGTTTATTATAGTGTACAATAATCCTAATTCTATCCTATTTAGATTAGTCATTGGTTCGTACAATTCAATTTATACGTCATTTGGTTAAGCACTATCTAACCTTTTTTGGAATATTTGTAATTTAAACTAGATCCTATATTAGAAGTTTGAAATCTCCACAATAATAATATGATTTAATACCGATAAAATATGCTATAAATATTCTCTTTAAACTATTTGTTTACAATTCAAAAGTATATTAAGTATATTAAGTATATTTAAACGCATATTTAACGTATATTTATACGCGTTGTATGTTGCGTCACAAAAACAATACCTCTTGGCTTTTACCGAAATAGGTTAAGAAGCTTGCAATTATTTTACTGTAAAATATTATTATTATTATTATTTTTTTTTTGGCTTTTTTTTTTTCAAAATGTAATTATAACTTATCGAAAATGGTTACTTTATCCAAATTAAGATAAGCGCGGACAGTTTTTAATTAACTTTATCTCTCTCTCCGTTTCGGACATTCGGAGATCGGAAGATACTTTCTTCCTCCGTTATGAAAGCAACAAAATTTTATTTATTTATTTAAATATTAGCTAAAAATATAAATATAAACAAAAAAAAAACGTAATGGTAAATTAACCAATTAAAAAAATTTTGTATGGGTAATTGTTTTTTGCGTGTTGATTAGATATCTTTCTAAAAAGTATTTTGTTTTTCAAAATTATACAACAATATCGATAATCTTTTTCAAAAAAGAAATGAATAATTAAGTTAAAAAATTTTAGAAAACAAGAAAGATTTAAAATTTTTAAAATTTTTGAACTTTATAATTATAATTTTCATCTTTATAGTATATCACTATGGTTGGTATCTTAAGTCACGTGATTATACGGATTATACTATAATCACGATATTACTGTATTCTGTATTCTCTGAAATACTTGAAATATCAGGATCTGGTATTACCTTAATGGTGAAATGTTGGACGATAATTATATAAACATTTTTATTATTTATTCTGTCTTAAAAATAATTTGGACACAAAAAGCGCAACGTACTTGTATATTGACCAAAATAATAAACCCACCCTGAGACTAACTCCTGCCTCTTAAATAAATTGAATGTAAATGGTTCTCCCCTAATAATAATGTTACTCTTAAAAATATTGATTTAAGTTTAAGGAAGCTAATAAACTTTCATGTGAAAATATTCTCGTTCATATAAACCAGTAAAAAAAAAGGAGGAAAGAGTTGAGCCTATCTATATCTATTGAAATTTAAACAAAGATAATAAATTATTTATTGTATCAAACAGGTTTTTTCTTGTCTTTTCCATTTTTGATGAACTATAAAATTCAGAACTTGATTTTGATTGGACAATCAAAGATTGGATAATTATTAACAATGTTTTAGTTGCTAACTCATAACGTAACATTATCCGGATATTTTAATTACCCTTCCTGTATCTGTGGTTTAAATATTATATTCATGTAATCATTTTTAATGGTCAATCGATTTTAAGTTTCATCAAATTTTTATAAGCGGCGTGCGTGCAGCGTGTGCCTCAAAAATAATTTTTAACGAATCTAAAAAATTATTTAAAAATTTCTCATAATTATGATGCTCATAATTATGATGTAATTCAATTATTCTCGCCATAAATCCGTTTCAATTGTATTAGCGGATTTAATTAATTATCTCATGAACTTATGGAACTTATAATAGTCGGATTTTTTGGGCGTTATTAAGGGATTCAAGAACATATTTTTGATACTTTTTTGAAAGATTTTTTAGTTGTATTAGAAGAACGGATTATATTTTGAAATATTTCTTAATAACGTTTAAAATATTAATTAAAGATCAAATAAAAAATTATAAAAATTATCAGTACATAATCGCAGAATCGATAAAAGAAATTTTTCAGAAACTTTGATTAAACGTAAATAAGTACAGTAACATCTGATGCGTTCGTTGAGTTTTCAAAACAAGTTATATAAAATTATAAATGATTCCCATAAAATTATTGCAATTTATTAAAAATTAGTTATACACAGTAACCCATTGTTACGCCCATATTTATCTTTTCAAATCGTTCGTTCAACGATAAAAATTTTATAATGAATATTTTTTATTTTATTTTATTAACTTCATATTTGTATATATATATATATATAGCTTGATAAAATTAAAAGATTTATCTATTAAAAAGATTCATTAATTTATTATTTAATTTATTAATAATTCAAATATTTGAAAAAGTTACGAAAACTTACCTTTAGTAATCCTTAGTAGGAATCTCATTCATATAAATACTCAATAGTTTATATTAAGGATATCTAAATAAATAAAATTCCAAATTATGCCAAGTTTTTCGACAAATTTATAATCTTCTGGGAAATAAATTGCATATGTGGTGAGTAAAATAGTGCCAAGAAGACCGATTATAACCTTGATGAAATCCATTTTCATTTCCTTAAGATGGATCTAAAGTTTTAGTAATTATTGAAATAAGTTACATACAATATTTCCTAAAAAAATCATACCCGTTTTTTACGTTCAGCGGCCTCTACATCCAACCTTTTAAATATTTCAGCTAACGTGGGGGAATCATGAGTAGACATTGCGTATTTAGAATTTTTTTTTTTTTTATCCAAGAAATATATAATATAACAGAACTTTGATGAGAGAGAGTGAAAAAAAAATAAGGTAAAAAATTCTCATAGTGATTTAAATTTCCTTCCCGTGATCAGTGACGTACCAGATTTTCACGTAAACATATGATCACACTTATCACGTTGTATCACGTGTACAATCATTTTTATTCTAAAGCAAATATTTTAACCTTTCTTTTTTTTTGAAATTAACTAATAAATAAATATTAAAAGTTTTTAGAATATTAAATATTTTTACTTATATTAGCAGTTAGGTAAAAATTAGAAAAAAAAAATGTAGCAAAAAATTTAAAAAAAAATGTCAGAACTAATAGTTCCGGCACATTTTATTAAAAAAATTTAAAAAAAAATGTAAAAAAAAAATGTAGCAAATATTAAAAAAAAACTTTTAAAAAAATGTTTAAAAAAAATGTAGCAAAAATTTAAAAAAAAATTTCTAACTATCACCGAGGGTGATGATCACCAGTGACTGAAATTATGACGATCGACCTGCATTAAAAAAATATAGTGCCGGTAAAAATTGATAATTCCGGCCAACGGTGATGATCACCCCCGGTGATTTGAAGTAAAAACAAAAAAAAAATTTAAAAAAAATTTAAAAAAAAATACTAGCAAAATTTTTTTAAAAAATGTAACAAATATTAAAAAAGATATTACATAATAAAATTAAAAAAATTACATTTAAACAAATATAAGTATTGATTCACGTGACAATCCGACATCCGACATACTGAACCGGTCAAGGTTCAAAATTTTACTTTGTCCTGAATAATATGAAAACAGCTGTAATATAATCCCAATTCGGATCTGTCGGATAGGATACAGATCGGATACGGATCAAATTTACGTGTAATATGATCCGATTCGACTCAGTTCGGATCAAATTTTTTTTCAAATTTCGGGGTCGGATCAAATCTTATCTAAATCCGATCCAATCTGATCCGTGCGGAACCCACTCACTTGTAAAACACACAACACGTTTAAAAAATCAAAGTAAAATCTTTATTATATTTTTGTCAAGTAATACGTGAGAAGGGTCGACCGGCTAAGTAAAAAAATGAATAAAAAAAATAATTATACAAATAAATACAGTAAATACAGATTGAAATACAAAAAAGTCTTATATAAATCAAAGAGCAATGATAAAAGAAGCTAAAATGGTCGTGAAGAAAACAACTTCAAAGGTACTAATAATAGAAGCTCCACTGGATTTATTATCACTTTTAGCACCACCTATAACTTCAAAATCTACAACTTTGATATCAGCACATCCATACAACGTATTAGTCGCTCCCGTGTAAAAACCTTGAAGTACTCCTTGATCTCCAACTTTGGCACCAGCTTTAGAGAGATCGACTTTTATAGCAAAATATTTTGGCTCAGCACCTTCGGCAAGAAAAACTGTGAAATTCTCTGTGAAAAAAAAAAAATATATTTAGTATTTTTCTTTAAGTAAAAATGAAATCAAATATTTGAAATTGAAATACTTATTATACCTGAAACAGGTTGGAAAGTATCATTGGAAGTGGGAGCATAGTTGATAATCATAAAACCATTACCATCTCCGAATCTGGTAGTTACTTGACCATCTACATAACATAAAAAGAAAAATAAATTAATATAGGACCGATATGAAATTATTGCGGTTTTCAGAAATGTTGGCATTGATAGATTTTCTATATATTGTATATTTTGTGTTTTTGTGTTTTTCCGGACATTTTTGATGACAATTTCTGGACATTTTCAAGATATTTTCCGGACAAAAAAGAACACAAAATACAAAACACAAATACAATATTTTGTCTGTAAAATATCCGGAAAATATCTGGAAAATATCTGGAAATTGTCCGGAAATTGTCATCAAAAATGTCCGGAAAAACACAAAAACACAAAATATACAATATATTGAAAATCTATCAATGCCAACATTTCTGAAAACCGCAATAAGTTAAGATTGTAAAACTGACTCATTTTTTTTAGTTGTCATTTTTAAAAAAAATAGAAGGAAATTCCAAACTAACAAGTTTTTATCTTAAAATAATTTTATAATGTCGTGTGAAATAAAATTTCTAAAGAATATTCTCACCTGTAAGAGGAAATTCCGTTATAGCAGTGGTGTTTACATCATTAAAGCCGCCGCAAGGAGATTGTATCATATTAGCCCTATACGTCCTCTAAATGGCTTATAATACTAAAATGAGCATTTGTGGAAGAGATTAAAACGAAGAAAAGGACCAAGAAAACGGAAAAAACTTTAAAAGTATTCATATTAAAAGAAACTTTATGAATAATTGAAAAAGTTGGAATTGGGAGATAATTTATACCCTATAAAAAATGTTTGTCCGATAAATATTCGGAATGGGTCAATTTTCCAGACACTCGCACGCTATTATACAATATTTGTTACAACTTACAATTTAATACAAGTTGCGGAGATTGAGAATTTTTAACCACATAAAAAACGTACAATATCATGATGAATGTCCAATAATGTCAAGTAAATGTTCAGAACGGGGTCGATTTTCTGAACAAAAAACCGAACAATGTTTGGACAATATTATTTATAGGGATAGTGTAATCTTGGGTGGTCATCTTTAGTGATCCATCAAATCGTAACAATAATTCAAGATTAAGTTCAGATTATCTGGAGAAAACGGTGTACAAAGTCCATAAAAGAGATAATTTTGTACATCTATTTATTATTTATAAATATTTTTGTTTATCGTAAATTACCGTTATAGTTATATTTTCACACAGTCTGAAATATGTAAGAATACGAGGACCAGTAACACCATCTGCTTCACGAATGTTATTAACAGTTAATGTTACTATTAATAATAATTACGCTGGTATTTATTTCACGGACAAAAGTTTCACCGACATTTATTTCACCGACACGATAATATAACTAATGTGTGACTACGAGTACGTGATCGACTCCAAATATTTGCATATCACGTACTCACGTACGCATGTTCGTTTAAAATAGTATCTTTATTAATACATCTCTTCAAGTGATTAACTGCATAGCAAGATAGTTTCATAGGATTTGCATGCGTTTGGATATATCCATTATTAGAAAAGATTCCTGGGTACTCTTCAAGTATCATTTTAAATGGACCACGAATACGAGAGCACCACATTTCTGGTGTTTCATTATCATGTTTATGTCCTAAAAGGGCTAATGCTTTTCCTATTCTTTCATATGTTTCATCACGATCAGATGAGTAAAGCTTAAAGTATGCATTACTATTTAAGTCCATCTTTTAAAGCGAATTGAGCATTCTTAACTTACGCATAATGTGTACGATATTAACGTACGCACCGGCCGGAGTTAAGTTTAACGCTTTCACGTGCAAGTGTATAACTCCTAACTCTGGTAGGATGTACGAGTGATGTACGTACGCACCGTGCGTAACCTCTAGGCGAATTATAACAGATTAGTGATTTAAACGATTATTTATCAAGTTATAATAGTTTGTAACAAGTATATTATTACAGGTATCACCCTAGCTCCCAGTCAGTTCCCAGCACTTTCCTGGCGCTGGCGAGTTTCCATAAAGCACGAGATGATCATCCAATAAGATTCCGCCTTGAAATAAAATAGCTAAATTATTTAACATATACTGTAGCAATTATAGGAGTACACACAGGTTAAAAAATAATTGATGAGCATATATTGATTTTTGATTTATTTGTGAAAATGATAATCATACATGTCTAGATAATGTTAAAACATGGTAAAACTTCGGCAAGTGTGAACAAGCGATCACACTTGAGTAAAATTTGGCTTATCTGAAATCTGAAAAAATTTTGGTAGCTGTGAACATATATTTACACTTGAGTAAAATTTGGTGCAGTAAATTTCACTAACCCGCTTTTAAAACTTTAGCTATTACATACTCATTATCCTCCATCATCTTCAGCTTTGATGATCCTATCATTTAATTCACAAAAATTAACCGAGTCAATATCCATATCGGGGAACGTTTGCTGTGGAATTGGAACGGACAATTTCTTGATAAGCTTTTTCAAAATGGGCGAATCTTTTGGCGTTCATACTTTATATCTTCATTGGTTCGTTTTTTACTGCTGGTATCAGGCTGTTCTTTACCATCAACATCCATTTCTACTTCCTCTTCTAGTTCCATATCAGTTGATGGACATATAGGATACAACTTGCGTGGATTATCAATGCATTTATAATGCACAATATGTCTGCAGGTTAAATATACGAGAAGTTTCATGTGAGCATTAGTAGAGACAGGATGAAAGCTTAAAGAAGGAAGACATGAAGAAAGGTCTTCAGAGCATTTGGCACATCTTAAATAACTTCTTTTCCGTTGAATTGCTGTTTCCTCGATCTGTTTGTTTCAGCAATCATTCCCTCCATCTGTATGATTGGTGAATTTAGGATGAAAGTTTTGTCCATCAAGTTGGATAAGGTTATTTCGTCGAAGGACATTTCGCCGAAAATGTTCGTGATTAACGTAATTCCTTAATCGATACAAAGAAAATAAAAAAATGTTTCAGAAAATTGAAGAGTACGATGAAATTGTTTAATAAAATTAATTTTCCTTTAATTAAATAAAATAAGCAAACGCGACTTGTAATGTGTAAATAATTCGTTTGTCTTATAAGAAAGAAAAGGAAAATGTGTCCTTTCGTCGAAATGGTTTCGGTGAAATGTCCTTCGGTAAAATGGCCATTCAGAAAATGACACTTCAGTGAAATGGCACTTTGGTGAAACATCCCTTCGGCGGATACCGTAGAGGATAATCCACCAGGAATTCTGTGTTCACAGCAGACATTATTCTTATCAATTTAGTAAAATCCATGTGTATATATATAAGAAATTAAGAAAATGGACATAGAAAACAAATTATTATTTATTTTTAATAGACTGTTTACGTGAATCTAATAATAAGATTACTTGTTGGCCAAAATCTAGTGAAGATATAATAATGCATTTTATTAATCATATAATCATTTACTCATTTTATTCAATACGAAAACGCGTTATATGGTATCTAATATTAAAATGATACCATAATATTGTACAGTACTATTCATTCATTCAATGTGAATGAATGTGTTAGAAAAGCATCAAGAAGGACGATGATAACGATGAAGATTACTTGATAAGAATAAATTGGCCTTTATGTTGACGCGTACGAAGTGAAACTGATATATATAGGACTATTTAAATCATTTCTTGATATCGACTGGTTGTACCTCAAAAAAAAATTTAATATAATAATAAATGTAAGGACAATAATTTTAACTAATAAACTTTATTTTACTTTATCGGTTACTAAACTTTTTATACCATGGTGATTTTTAAATTTAGGGTTTCGATCCGTTATCCGATTGAAATCCGTATTTCGAATTAAGACTTGTAATTCGGATTAAAATCCGGATTAAATTATATTATCCGGATTAAATCCGAATTAGACTTATGATAATTATATATCGAATATATTGAATAAATTATTTAAATTATATATTATATAAATTTTGTTTTTTTTATTCTTTTAATAATAATATGAATTTATTACACTTATATTTCTAATTATGCTTCATCTTCTAAGTTATTCCATTCTGGCGCGAAAACTTCCATACCTTTCATATTTCGTTTTAAAAAGAGCATTTAGTCATTATTCCCTTTTCATCCAAGAATGCACGTATGTATAGTTCTCCATTAACATCAGAATATTTTGTAAAATAACTATGTGCGATACTTGTATATGTTCTTTTAGCACTGCTCTCTTTTATAAATAATATTAATTAAAAAAAGATAAATTTTTTATTCTTTTTAATATAAAGAATTATTTTACAACATTTTCTTTTAATTTCATGGGCAGTAGTCGCTAAATTTGTATTCTTTGAACTTAAAGGGCTTTGTAAACTTTTATTAGGAGATTCTCCATTATCCAAATCAATTTCAATATTATTATTTTCGATTGTTTACAATAATTGAGACGTAAAGACAAGTAAATAGTGATTATTAATATAGTAAATCAGTATTGAACTATTTATATACTAATCCTTACACAATCCGTCTAAACCGTCATAAGGATCATCCTAATTAAGCTCGGATAACGGATGCTTAAAAAAGGATCGAAACCCCTTCATTTATATTTTTACGGAGTTTACATACAAGAGGTTTAATATTTCACGTGTGATGAAGTGAACGTGCTAAACTCATTAAAACATGCATTTTTCTATATTTATTGCCTAACCGACTCGAAAAGTTCATGATCCACGGGTGAATTGTATAATAGACCCCGAAATATACATAAAAAGGTCAGAGGTTCAAAAAAATTCTGTACCGCATTTTTTCAGGGCCGGAATTATGATAATTCCGGTCAGTATCCAAAAACGGTAATAGCTTTCCACCAGGCATTATCTATAAAGGAAAGATTTTCATGATTTTTTTTTGGCTGGGTTTTACGCAAACTATATTTCGGGTCCTGTAATAATCGATACTGTATATTTTGTATATTTGCATATAATTGATATAATTGATCGAGTTAATAAATTGTCTTTAGAGGTATAATAATATGTACGATGGTTTTTTTTTAAAAAAAAAATTAAGAGTGACGTAATTTGCATAAAATCATTTTATTTTAAGTTAATCCCAGTTACGCCTTCAATAAATAGAGTTAATTTACAAATTAAGGAGAAATCCCGGTTACAAAGAAGTACTCCTTTTTTTTAACTTTAACAAGTTAACAAAATTTTTATTAAAATACTGAATATAGAAAAATAAACTTTGATTAGTCACACATTTCTTTTTCTTCATTTTTATTTATCGACCGATATAGTAGAGAAATAGTTTCATAAATTGTTGAGTGGAATTATAAACCAATTGGAGTCGGTTAAAAAGAATTTTTGAAAATAATATTAACTTTAAAAGGGTTTTTGGGGGTTTATTTTTTTTTATTAAAGAAAAAAAAAAGATTTATTGCCTCATATATTTACATTATATGTACCATGACTATCCAATAAGTACCTTATAACGGCAACTCCGTCATCCATTATTTATCAAGGTTGATTGGCTGTACAACATAGCAGAATGCATGAGTGGTGTAACCCTTTGGCGCTATTTCAATTTATACAATACAAATTTATTATTTATGTAAAATAATTCAATTATGTAATTATGTTATTGTTTATATATGTCAGCTAAAATAAATATCATAAAAGTCATATGAATAATGGAAATATATTATAATCGAACAAAAAAAATTATTTAAATTGACGGTGCACGATTCTAAATTATTCATTATGATTGGGATAAAAGAAGAAAGCTAAGGCAATAATAACATATGTTGCCAGCAACATAGCACCTTCTAACCAATTTGATTCGCCATCCTAAAAACAAAAATAAGTTTATCCCTTAATATTATAATTTCTTTTAATAAAGTGTAAATAAAAAAAAATCATTTAATACCTGAATGAGATAATTTGTGATCAAAACTGAAATGAACAATACAATAGTTTCGAATGTTCGGAAAAACAATGTCATTTGTTGCCCTATTATCCATCCGAGTATAACGAGTAATGGTGAAACGAAAAGCGCGATTTGCTAAAAGGAATTCTCATAGTTAATAAATGAAATATATTAGAACACTCATAATAATTCATAATTATTTACCATAGAACTGCCGGCGGCTACATTGATGGCAAGATCCATTTTATTTTTCATTGCAACGGTAACAGCGGTTACGTGCTACTCAACGAAAAGCTACTTGTTAATAAAAAATCAAGAAAAGAAGAGAATCGACGTATAAAATTACAATAATTACCTCGGCAGCGTTACCAACGATGGGCAATAAAATCAAACCAACAAAGGTTTTACTTAACCCAGAAGTTTCAACAATTCCTTCGATTGAACCAACTAAGTATTCAGCAGAAAATGCTACAGCAACAGTTACAGCAGCCAATAACAAAAACGATACAATAAGAGTTAATTGTGGTTGTTCATCATCTTCGATTACTCCTTCGTCTTGGTATAAATGCGTATGAGTTTTCAACTAATAAACCAAGAAAATTACATTTTATACGATAAAAAAAACAAAATGTGACATAACTTTTTCTTGTACTCACTTGGAATAAAAGATAAAGAATGTAAATTATCAACAAAACAATTGCCGTTCCATGGGATAAATTTAAAAGTTCACTTGTATGATCACTACCAGTTTGAACGATTTCTGGAGTTTCAACAGAAGAAATAAAAGCTGCAGGAATAATTAAACCAATACATGCCAAAGCCATTAAACTTGAACTCGTTTGCGCTGCAGTCATATTAAATTTTTGTTCTTTATGATAAAATCCTCCCGCAACAAAACACATTCCTAACACTAATAATAAATTTGAAATAATTGATCCAAGAATTGAAGCTTGAACTACACGTATTTGTCCTTCTTTAAGTGCTATTATGGAAACAATTAATTCTACTGCGTTACCGAAGGTAGCATTTAACAAGCCACCAATAGTCTGCAAAAAAAAAGAAAGTTTTTAATATTAAATTTGGCAAATTTTCTTAAATATTCTTGATAAATACCTGACCAACTCTCAAACTAATATCTTCAGTTGCAAATCCAAGTAATTTAGCTAGCGGAATTATAGCCAAAAAATTTATAACGAAAACCGAAGTGTTACTCCATTTTAATCCAAATGCTATGTATCCAAGAGGTACAAAAATTAAAAGTACATTTATCCATGAAGAGAGGAATATTATCTTAAAGGATTCAAATAAAGTTGGTGGTGCTGATGAAGAATGCAAAACTGGTGAACTTGGAGGAGACGGGATTAATGTCGTGTTAATGTTCGTGTTATTTTGTGATGAATTTGTTGATTTTCTCTGTGACTCTGATGACATATTTCAAGAGAAGTATAATAATAATAAATAAAAAAAAAAGAATTAAAATACTTTTCCTTTTTTCATTTTTTAAAAAGTATAATCGACATACAATATATACATAAATTATATATTACATAATATAATTTAAATAATTTATTTTATCTAATTATTGTATTATTGAACAACGTGAAAACATTCTTTTTAGAATTCTTTTTAATACACACATAATGCACACATGCAACAAATAGTGAAATACCCGGGTATAAGAATGTCGATCAGAATATTCTAGATTTGCGTCAAACAAATAATAATTTATCCAATTTTATATTTTTCATTATTCGTTAATTAAACGTCGAATAATAAATGGAATTGTTTTTTTATTCTAACCCTAGCCATTTCTATTCCTTTTATACTAAAAAAAAAAAAGAATAGAAACTTGAAACTTATAATAAAAGTTTAGAGTGATAAGCAATGTCACAAAAATAAATAGTTTCACGGGGCGATAAAAAGCCGAACAAATTAAATTTTAATGTGCAACCGTATTTTTTTTTTGTACTTATTATTGAACTACAACTAACTTATGAATATTTCATTTAGTAATACAAAGAACTTTTAGCTAATTATAATAAAAACCCTATTATTGACAAAGACAATAAACAAATGTATCACATCATATAAATTATCATTTTACAATAAACACTTTTTTGATGTTTTCCGCACACACAAAGATATTTTCCAAAATTCTTTAAATTTTCACGATTTTTTCTAAACAATTAACATTACGTCAATCAGTGAATAGGCGCCTTAACGCCATCGCACAATATATTGATTATTAACAGTAGTAGCTTATCATTATTTATATTAAAAGCGCATATGATTTATGATAAGTTTGTTACGATATTAATATTTACTGTATCACAAATGTCACAAAATTTACTTGATTCATGATTGTAAGTAATAAATATGTGTATTTATTTAAAATATCTATTTTTTCCTATTATTTCTTGACGTGTTATTTAGTTATTTATAAATTTCTGACGAAGAAACATCTTCATGGATAGCAAGGACAATTCCATTGGCATATATTATATGCCGATATCCCGTGAAACTTTATACGATCGTGTCATCAAGTGACAACTGCAATATGTAATTATTCGGAGTTACCGCTACTAGTCATTAGCGTTAAGTTGTTGAATAGTGTAACCTTATAAAAAATTTTCAGAAAAATGATCCATTTATCGAAGTTTTTTCCAGAATTTTTTTTATAGGTAATATAATATTATTTATATTATTATTTTATGATACTCAAATTTTTCGACAAAAGTGAATTTTATTGGGTGAAAATTGACACGTAAATGTAATTTTATCATCAGTTTCAAATATAAATAAAATAATATTTATAATAAATGTTAATAATCTATCGTTGTGCACAAAATGCATAAAATAATAAATGATCACGGCGTCAAAAATGATAATGATAATGAATATCAGCTAATTAATCTGATAATTAGTTGTGAACCCAATATTAAATGTATTTCTTGTTTAACGCATGAATTTTTCATTAAGTGTTATTCCAAATTTAATTATTTGAACGGATAGGTTTCAATTAAACGTTAGATAATACTATAAGGGACACCAGTGCAGGAATTGAACCTGCGTTTCCACGGATGAAATTTGGGTTAAACGATATTGATTAAATGTCATATTAATAATTATTTGTTAATATTTGTCTCAATTTATTCATTCTATTTATTGCAACAGTGATGAAATTTACAAGCTACAGTATATGAAAGAAATGCTTAATTCAGAGGATTTAACAGCTCTTTTGATTAAACAGTGATTGACTTGTAAATAACTATTCCATTGGTTGGTAATTGCCGATGAAATATTTTCAAAAATTTGAAATTGAAAATCAAAATAAATCACCTTGATCCATAAACCAGGTATATAATAAATATAGTTAGTATGTACTAAATATTGAGTAGTGAAACATAAACTGGAAAATTTGACATGTGATCTGCATTATTTGGTCCAATTAAATGGAATATTCTATAAAGAAAAAACATTAGAGAACAAAGAACAACATTAAAGAATAGCTGCAAAGTGATGTATCAATCGAGAATATTCTATGATTGATCGAATCTACAATAATAAACCTTAATATATATCCATTAACGGCGTACATAATAGATTGCATATTTTTAGGATTGGTTTGGCGTTTTTGAATCAAATAGTAATTATTAAAATTATCAGTTATTTTTATATTTTTATTGTTTTTATTAATATTTATTTTTATTTGACAAAAAATTAATAAACGAAATTTTTTTTTTTTTTTATTATTATTCTTGCAAATAAATCGCATGTATTTAGTAGCATTAAATTATCTCTTCTAAGTCTTGGCGTTTTAGAAAAAAAAATTATCTTATCAATAACTGCTTTCATAGTAGTATTATTACCGTACTGTTTTTATAAGGTTGTTCCAACTTGATGGTTTATTTAACGTCCAGATTTTCTGAAAGTGTGAGGGGGAAGTAAACAAAATAAACAAAATAAACAATAAAATTTGATAATTTTGAAAAATTCGAGAATTTCAGAAAATCGTAATTTAAATTTAAAGGGGCATTTAAACATATATGTTTATCAAAATTTATAATTGAAGTACATTAAAACAAACAATTAAGTTGATTTTAACTTTGATTTGCGAAGTAGTTAAGGGAAATCATCCTAATTCGAATCGATACTAAATTGAATTAGAACTTAGAATGAGTGACTCGAATCATGTGCTAATTCACTCCTTGTTGATCAAGCGTGCTAATCGACATTGTGCCAAGTAATATACTTTTGATTAACAATGATGGTCGTTGTTAATTTTTAAGAAAATTTCTACATTAATAAACTACATATTACTAGTGCTCAACATCATAGTATGCCTTTTCACAAAAATTAAGGCCTAAATTAAACAAGACTACTAACTAAAATTGTTCAGTACTCTCGAAAATAGTCAGAAAAAGAGAGCATTGAATATATATATTATTAATATAATTATTATATCATTATAATCAGCTTACGAATACTAATAAAAGTAGAATAAAAAGTAAAGTAACATATTAAAACACCGCAGTGTGGTTTAGTATAAATATTGAAAATTTATGCGAATGTTTTCGCTATATCACAGTTCCGTAAATATGCTACATTTACGAAAAACTTGGAATACGGATCAATATTTTATAATGTGACATGGAATTATAGCCATAATAATAAAAATAATTATTAAAGTTAATATTGTCTTAATAATGAACAATAATAACCTTGACGGTATACAAGAAGTGGCATAAAATATACTATATTCAAGGAAGTCGAAACTGTTTACGTTTAGTTTGCATTTGTTATTAAATTATTTGACAAATTTTAATTTTACCGCCATTGTTTTCAATTTTATTTCATTCATATTTCACGCGCGACTGCAATAATTTAGGAAATAATTTACAGTTGTTAAACATCTTTCAATAACGCTGGCTGAGTCATTATTGTTTCTTACGAATGTACTTAGCCTTATGAAAGTGATAATTACTAAATGGGTATATTTAATAAAAATGTGCGTATTTGTACTTGCGTGCGTCACCGAAAGCACAAGATTTACTAACTAAGAATTATTGGGGTTATAGAAGAAAGCCAAGCCTACAATAATATATGTGGCTAGTAACATAGTACCTTCTAACCAGTTTGATTCGCCATCCTAAAAGGATTACAAATTTTAATTAAAAATGCAAGTAAATATTTATTTGAAAATTTTGGTTCATTACTTGTTATTATTACCTGAATGAGATAATTTGTTATCAAAACTGAAATGAATAACGCAATAGTTTCGAAGGTTTTGAAAAATAACGTCATTTGTTGTCCTATTATCCATCCAAGTATAACGAGTAATGGTGAAACGAAAAGTGCGATTTGCTAAAAGAAAATTTAGCTAAAAATTTATTTTCGGTATATAATAGAAAAATAAGTAATTCAGAGTAACTTACCATTGAGTTTCCAACGGCATAGTTGATGGCGAGGTTCATCTCATTTTTTAATGTAGTGGCAGTGACGGTATGCTATATGAGATGAAATCACTAGTAATTAAGAAAAAGCTAAAATTCAACAAAATTCAACAAAATTTGAAGTAATTTTAAAAATTACCACAGTAGCATTGGTAGCAATCGGCAATAAAATTAGACTGACAAATATTTTGTTTAACCCAGAATTTTTACCAATTCCTTCAATTGAATCAACTAAATATTCGGCAGAAAAAATTATAGCAACAGTTACAACAACCAATAACAACAACGATACAATAAGAGTTAATTGTGGTTGTTCATCATCTTCGATTACCCCTTCATCTTGGTACAAATGCGTATGAGTTTTTGACTAGTAAACAAGAAAGTTACGTTTATACGGTGAGAAGAATATAATGTTGCGCCATAAATTCGTTTTACTCACTTGAAATAAAAGATAAAGAATATAAATTATTAATAAAACAATTGCTGCTCCACGAGACAAATTTATAAGTTCTTCTTCATGTCGTTTATCATTGCTACTCGTCTTTATTTTATCAGCAAAAGAAATAAAAGCTGCAGGAATGATTAAACCAATACATGCTAAAGTCATTAAACTTGAACTCGTTTGTGCAGCAGTTTTATTAAATTCTTGTTTTTTATGAAGAATCCCTCCCGCAACAAAACTCAATCCTAATACTAATAATAAGTTTGAAATAATTGATCCAAGAATAAATGCCTGGACTACAGTTATTTTTCCTTCTTTAAGTGCTATTATGGAAACAATTATTTCTACTGCGTTACCGAAGGTAGCATTTAATAAGCCACCAACCGACTGTAAAAAATAATAATTATTAGCAAGAGAAATTTTTTAAATTTAATTAATCTATTTGTGACTAATACCTGATCAGCTCTCAGGCAAATATCTTTAATTACAAATACAATTAATCTGGTCGATGGAATTATCGCCAAAAAATTTAAAATAAAAATCCAAGTGCCGTTCCATTTTAATCCATGAGCTAAATATCCAAGTGGTATAAAAACAAATAACAAATATAGTAAGTTTATCCATGAATCACTAAGTACAGTTTTAAGGGTCTTATTTGTAGTTGATTGAAGTGGAACACCTAAAATTGGCGTATCTGAACTAGTTGAACTAATTGACGACTGCGATAAACTCTCTAATGACATAATTCCAAGATATGATAATTTAGTAGTATAAACTTTTTGCAAAGGCGACGTTACGGCAAAATAACAGCAATCTTAAGAACAAAAATAATTAATTGCGCTAGAAAAAAAAAGCTTAAAATTTAATATGAAATGCATTTTTTTTTTCCTAAGAAAAAATAGTACACACATATACATTATATGCAAGTTACTTGTGAAAATATTCTCTCTCAGAATTCTTTTACTGTTAGCCCATTACATAAATAAAACCTGTTTTAAGCATAATAAATCAACAATGAAGCGATGAAACAATGATTCTTAATTTATCCATTTAAGGTAAAAATGCATAAAAAGTAATAATCAATGAAATTAGTTTTTTTCGTCTGTACCCCAACACAATCTGTTGAAAATTCCCGGTAATAATTACTATTTTAAGTTTATTATTTTTTTGTATAATCTACAAATGATTTACTCTTTTTTTAACCGGAATCAATAAATAAATATGCATTCTATAAAAATATTTCTCAAAAGAAGATTCCGATTATACGTAAGTTTTTGTATGCAATAATCGTAAATAGAATAGCAGTTTTTTGTGACAAATAAGAAAATTTAAACTAATGACATAATATATGACATAATATTTATTATACTTTTATCTAATATTAAATACTTGTTAATTCGCAAACAATAATAAATTATTAGGTTTATTTTAGTTATTCTTATAATAATTCACCAAAACATCTCTTTCGAACAAACTTGACCATTATCCGAAGTTGAATTTGGACTTGGTTAAAAATTAACCGGTTAAATTTATTCTTAGTTTCGGCCAGGATTAAGTTTAACGAAGGATTCTTAAGTGGGTGATATTTCTGCCGGTGAAGAATTATTGAATCATAAATTTCATCATTTTTTCAGTTCTTATTTTTTTTAACGTAAATTTAAAAAAAAATTATTGACCGTTTCGCTGACGATCATTTGATTAAGTATTTCACTGACGAAACTACTTCCCAGATACTCGGCATCAAAATAAAGATACGCCCTTTTAATTAATGGCCTAAAATCCAAGGACAAAAATGCCAAAAACCGACCCATACGAACAAATCGCAAGCCTCCAGTCCGACTATCCTTTTTATTTTACGTATCCATTTTGAACATCTAACACTTATAACCATACTGTTATAGCCAGTTCTTTAGCGTTTACAAACGTAAACAAATGGAAAAAGGTAAGCAGAAGGTATATAGGTAGGCGAGTATAATCAATAAATAAACTATATGTATAAACACTTAATAAACAATCCAATCAGACGTGTAGTATAGCACTGTACAACGGCATATACTCCCAACACGAATAAAGGATAACAAATTTATATTTCATTAAAATTCAAACAACAGTTTATTAATTAATATAATCATTAGAACCATTTTTATTAAGAAAACTCTTCTACTGAACTTCAATTTAACTACAGGTCTAATTACAGGTCTATATATATGTAAAAATACTAGACTAAAAATATCTAACATATTGCATATATTGAATATATTAAATAAATTAAACATATTTGATATGTTGCATATATTTGATATGTTGAATATATTTGATATGTTACATATATGCAACATATGCAACATTTCGAACATTGATCGTCACCTCGTGATTAGGCCCAAATTTTGGTCACGTGATCGATCGTTCGCTACAATACCAAGATAATAAGATTGTAAAAAGTATTAAATGATTTTTTTTAATGTGATTATCATGATGATATACAGTAATTTAGTTGCGTAAAGTTCAATTTGTCTTTAAAAACGTCAATAAAAAAAGCAAAATAAACAAGCTGTTAATAATATAAAGAGTAAGTTAGATAATGATGAAGACATTTCAGGTTATAATTTGGAGGTACCTATGCAAAAGAAAATATCCACACGACTTAATGTTTCGGGCGAAACTGTTTTGCAATTGGCGAAACGTTTCGCCAATTTAAGTTTCGGTTGGCCATTCCGAAACTCCTAACCTTGGCGAAATTTCCGAAACTTGGGTAAACTAAAATTGTCACGTGCATGATACTAAATTTATGTGATTTTCACCAAGTTACGGAAGTAACGGAAGTTTGGGCAAGTTTCGCCCAGTTTCGGAAATTTCGCAAGTTTCGGATTTTGCATCAGTGGCGAAACTAGTTTCGTCAGGTTTCGGAAGTTTCACCAAGGATTTAATTTCGGTTTCGCCCGAAACACTAATTGAAACTGTTGAACAACACTCAAATAACTAATTCAAAAGATTAAGACAAGAACAAAATCAAAAAGTTCGCTGATGATTACAAGATAAAGGTATGGAAGAAAAAGTAACTTCAAATCTGACCATTCAAGTATAAGCTTCAAATCATTCAAATGGTCAAAGGGATTAAACATAGTCCCAAGAAAAAGGAGACGGTAATAATTGATGAAGTGAAAGAAGATAACGATATGACTTGGCGACCGTGTATAAATTATAGAACAATTTATCATTTATGTCAGTATTCTTAACGTCGTGTTGATAGATCGATTCTTTTCTTTTGGAAGTATGGTGTTATTTAAATATATCTTTAATATTTATTTTATATACATGTTTAATAAAGATTAACAAACTTTACATCGTGTACATTGTGGAAATATTTCCATGCTGCGGTGACCAATAGGGATTAATTCTACTAATACGAATTTCAATATTGGTATCTCAAAAAATATCGGTCATTAAATTCCCGCATATTTCAAATCGACTATTTAATTTATACTTTAATTTTTATCAATTGGGATAAAAGTAGGTAGCTAAAGCTATAATAACGTACGTAGCTAAAAATATAGCACCTTTTAGCCAATGTGTTTCTCCACCCTAAAAAAATATAATAGTTAATTTTACAATTTTAACTGAAAAGATAAATAATAGCATATTATGATACCTGAATAAGATAATATGTCATCATAACTGAAGCGAATAAAATAATAGTTTCGAATGTATGGAAAAACAATGTCATTTGTTGTCCTATTATCCATCCAAGTATAACGAGTAATGGTGAAACGAAAAGTGCGATTTGCTAAAATTTTTAAAAGCAAAATTAAAAAAAATTTATTTAAATAATTATAAAGTAAGATTATGTGCAATCCTGATTTACTTACCATCGAACTGCCGACAGCACTATGAATAGCATAATGCAGATCCATTTTATTTTTCATTGGAGAAGTTAAGGTACCTACAATCTATACAAATTAATAATTAATTGGTAATTTTAAAAAAAAGATTTAACTCCCGAAAATTTAAAGAAATTAGATATTTACTTCGGAAATTTTTTTAATATTGGGAATTAAAATCAAACCGACAAAGGTTTTATTTAATTCATGAGATTCAACAATTCCTTCGATCGAATCAGCTAAGTAGTCAGCAGAAAAAGAAACGGAAACAGTTACAACAGCCAATAACAACAACGATACAATAAGAGTTAATTGAGGTTGTTCATCATTTTCATTTTCCTCCTCAGCTTGGTAGAAATGTGTATGAGTTTTCAACTAATAAACCAAGAAAGTTATATTTTATACGATGAGAAGAATTAAAATACTGTATCATAAGTTTTATTGTACTCACGTGAAATAGAAGATAAAGAATATAAGTTATCAACAAAATAATTGCCGTTCCATGGGATAGATTTAAAATTTCTTTATATTTTTCATCATCATTGCTAATGATGTCTGAATTCTCAACAGAAGAAACAAAGGAAATAAAAGCCGCGGGAATAATTAAACTAATGCATGCTAAAGACATTGAACTTAAAGCTGTTTGTGCAGCAGTCACATTAAAACTTTGTCCTCTATGATAAATTTCTCCCGCAATAAACCGCATTCCTAACACTAATAATAAATTCGAAATAATTGATCCAAGAATTGAAGCTTGAACTATACGTATTTGTCCTTCTTTAAGTGCTACTATGAAAACAATTGATTCAATTGTATTACTGAAAGTAGTGTTTAACAAACAACCAGTTACCTGCAAAAAAAGTGAGTGTTTAATGTTAAATATTACAGATTTTGCTTAAACATCCTTGATAAATACCCGACCGACTCTTAAGCTAACACTTTCGGCTGCAAATTCAAATAATATGGCCAATGGTATTATAGCCAGAAAATTTAGAACGAAAACCCAAGTGGTATTCCATTTTAATTCAAAGGCTATATATCCAAGCGGTACAAAAATTAACAATACATTTATCCATGAAGTAGTAAATATAACCTTAAGGGATTTACATAAAGTTGGTGAAGGTGGTGAATAATACAAAACTGGTGAACTTGGAGGAGTCGGAATTGATACTATCAATGGTTGTGATGACATATTCCAAGAGAAGAAAAAAGATTAAAATATTTTATTTCCTCCTTTCTTTTTTAAATAAGAATAAGATATATTGTAATTTTCTTCTTACTAATACACGCATGTAGCAAATGATAATCGATTTCATCTTTTTTTTTTCTATTGTGATTTGTGATTGAACAATAACACAAAAATAAATAGTTTCACAAGCGCGATAAAAAAATACTTTCAAATGAAATATATTTTTAAATTTAAGCCACTTTGGTAATACAAGAACTTTAAGCTAATTATGAAATGTACCACATCAGTCAATGCATGATACCGCATATATGGACTTATAATAACAAATAGAGTATTGGTGCTAGCACCCTTCAAAAAAGAATATTATAGAACAATTTCACATTTTCCGAAATTTCTGAGACGACTAACGATTTTTTCTCATTTCGGTAGAAACCAAGAACCCAATTATTGCCGTTTTCGAAATTACTGACAAATTCCGATTTGCGAGGTTTGATATATGATTTTTCGTATAACAAAAGCGAATCACATTTTTACGCGAATTTTTAATATTTTCATGTCAAATTTTTTTTGTGAATAATCAAATTCAAGATAAAATGTGTATCAACGCAAAATTTCAGCATATATTTAATATAAAAATTTTGGACTTTTACTATGCAGATATCATTTATTATAGTCATTTAATTATATATAAAAATAAAGTGAATCACATTTCTGCATAAATTTTTAATATTTTTGTGTCAAATTTTTTTTTGTGAATCATCAAATTCAAGTCAAAATGTGTATTAATGCAAAATTTCAGTATACATTTCTTATAAAAATTTTGGACTTTTATTATGCAGATATCATTTATTATAGTTATTTATATATAAAAATAAAGTGAATCACATTTCTGCATGAATTTTTAATATTTTCATGTCAAATATTTTTTGTGAATCATCAAATTCAAGTCAAAATGAGTATCAGTGCAAAATTTCAGCATATATTTCATATAAAAATTTTGGACTTTTATTATGTTAATATTATTTATTGCAATTATTTACATATAAAATAGTGACATAGAAAAGTCCAAATTTTAAATGAAATATATATTGAAATTTTGCCTTGATATACATAATGTCTTGAATTTGATGATTCAAAAAAAATTTTAATATAAATATATTAAAAATTGATGTAGAAATGTGATTCACTTTATTTTTATATATAAATAACTGTAATTAATGATATCTGCATAATAAAAGTCCAAAATTTTTATAAGAAATGTATACTGAAATTTTGCGTTAATACACATTTTGACTTGAATTTGATGATTCACAAAAAAAAATTTAACACAAAAATATTAAAAATTTATGCAGAAATGTGATTCACTTTATTTTTATATATAAATGACTATAATAAATGATATCTGCATAGTAAAAGTCCAAAATTTTTTTATATTAAATATATGCTGAAATTTTGCGTCAATACACATTTTATCTTGAATTTGATAATTCACAAAATAATTTGACACAAAAATATTAAAAATTTATGCAGAAATGTGATTCACTTTTGTTATACGAAAAATCATGTATCAAACCTCGCAAATCGGAATTTGTCAGTAATTTTGAAAACGGCAATAAGTGACTATATGGAGGTTAGCTATTTTTGTTCTATATTACTACGTAGTCTTTGATATATATATTGAATTTGGATTGAATGAACGCATTTAACGACAGGTTAATAGGCAAGGATTTTGATTGACTGAAGCAAATTTTAATTTCTAGACTTGCTTATGAATCCTAGAAGTTTTTTACTGAGAAAAGACCAAATTTTATTAATTTTTATAATCATCTTAAAGTTATATCCGACGTACTGATGTTGTGTAATAATATGCAGGTGTTGTTCGAGCTCCTCTAAAAGTTGTTAACTTTCAACTTTTATTAACGTATCATAACGTATTTACTTTATCTGCATTGCCATACTAGTAAAATCGTGTAAATAACATTGAGAAAAACAAATTTAATAACTTTCTCTATGTAATAATATATTGACAGTGATAGCAATAAAATCAATTATCATTATTTATATTAAAGTGAATAATAGATGAGATTGCGCATAATTTTATTATTATAAGATCTGATATTATATTTATTTATCATCATATTTAGATGGGTGACTGATATTTTTTTATAATGTATGGATTATTAAATTTTATAGATTTCATCGCTTTTTCGGTAAACAACTAAACATGTCTCATTTGAAAATTATAATTTTTCGTTCATCAAATAATTCACAGACTATTGACGGTTATTTCACCGACAGTAATACGTATATTTTAATTATATTGACATCACTAAATTATCAGGCAGTCCGATGACTATCACTGATCAAAATTGTAAATTTTACGTTAAGATTTTTACGTAAAATCATTATTGAAAATATGAAGTGGAAATATCCATGTATGGAATCGGGAAGAAAATAATTCGTTGGGGGTTTTGATTGTCTTTATTATTGGATCAGATCGCCGATTGAGTCTATCTTTTATATTTATCACAAACTTATTTATTTAATAAACATTCTTTTTTTTCATAAGTAATGTATTTTTTATTATTAAAAAAACAATTTGATGGCAAATCTGAATATAAATGTAAAATCAGTGATATGATATTTAGGTTGTAACTAATTACTCATACCAGCCATATGATGCGAATGACGTGTATCGCATAATCTTGATGTAGTTTTTGTCATGAGTGTATAATTTAAATAATATAAATATGTCAGTTTTCTTTATCATTTTTTTCTTTGTCTTCTTATTTTTAGGTCTTCTTTATATTCTTCTCTTAGGTCTGTTTTCTCTATGTTTAGGTCTTCTCTTTATTCCTAGGTCCCTTTTCTTTACGTCTTCCTTTAGGCATGTGTAGGTTTATTTGTGTGTGGGTGGTGGGTATGTTTGTGTATTTCCTTGCTCTTTCCCTTCCCCTCTCGCTTTTCTCTTTCCCTTCATTTTCCCTTTCATTTTCCCTTTCCCTTTCATTCTCCCTTACCCTTTCCCTTTCGCTCGTTCTTCCTTCCCTTTCGTTTTCCCTTTACCTTCCGGTTTTCCCTTTACCTTTCGTTCTCCCTTCCCTTTTCCCTTTCGTTTTCTCTTCCCTTTCGTTATCATTTCCCTTTCAGTTTCTCTTTACCTTTCGTTTTCCCTTTCCCCTACCGTTTTCTCTTTCCTTTTCGCTTTCCTCTTTCCCCGATTAATGTTGCTTGCACCTCAACGTGTTGATCAGGTGACAACAAGTTTTTTAAAAGACTTGGCTAAGTCAGCAACAAATAGTAATTACATATTATATAGGTCATAAATCGATTTGTTCACTTTATTAATTTATAATTGATTTCATATAAATATAACTAAATAAATAATTTGATATATCTAATTTTAAGACTATTTGATTTTGAATAATAATAATGCAAAATTTTTCCATAATAACATTCTTAGGACTAATACGTTGAAGAAATTTTAACATTCAAATTTAAATCAAATTTCTTTTTTTTGTAACACTGATAATTTGCTATCTTTCGTAATTAATAATAAAAAAAAAAGGTAAATAAATTAGCGGTTACCATTTCCTAGTTATAAGTTTAAATATTGCAGATGATTAAATCACGGAAAAAAAGTATTTAGGCCATTAAATCAATAAATACTGTATATTAAATAAATCGCGGAAGTGTATAGATACTGACAGTTTATGAACGTACATAATAATGTAACGTCCGCTAGCGGTCCATATAATAAGAGATTGTGATGAATTACGTAAATAAAATTATATATTGCACCTATTACACCGAACCGACAATCATTTCATCGACATGGTTATTTTGCAAATATTTTCAAAAAAAAAATATTTATTCATTCAGTTGTATTTATTGATATTTATATCGTGACAAACAGCAAATGTGTATACAAATGCTAAAATATAGAAAAATGTATAATACGAATAGCATATAAAACTAATATATTATACTTCAAAATTAACTACTAAAAATGAAAGATTGTGATCAAATTCCTCATGAGTTCTCTATTTTTACGATCATTATAAACTGTCTCCTTTGAAGGTTGAATTGCAAAATTTATGTAATTAATACGAAATTTCAAATTAAAAATTTATCTATTTATTTATTTTTTTTTAGTAATAGTAATTAGGTTTAGTGTTACTATCATACTGACTTCTGTTGGTTAATAAATTTTAAAAAGAATATTAAAAATCTACAATCTTTAACCAGAATACCAGATCACCCTACTGACCCTAGTAAAGAAAAAAGTTCTCCATCGGGAAAGTCATGATAATAACATGAAAGACGACAAAAAATTCAATGAACAAGTCAATCACGGACAAAAAATTCACTGAACAAGTCAATCATCACTGCTAAATTTTTTTTTAAAAATATTTTTGCTGAACTTCTTAGATAGACACCCGCGTGGGTTGATCTGGATCAAATTTTCACCATATATTTTACGAGATATTAATGGGTTTGTTTACTTGTCTAATAGGTCTGTTCATTTCTGATCGTTCGAATTTATTAGTTGATAAAGATGAAAAAGATTTTTTTTTTTAGAAATTTAGCGAGCAAAGTAATAGTTTGATCTCGTGCGACATTAATAAGACTACATCACAACTAGTTTTCACGTGACATTAATTATTTTTCTCGTTCGCTCAATTAAAACACAATATCGTATATTCTATGGACAAAAAAAAGATACATATTTTATATATACATATAAAGTACTATGTATTAAAGCTTTTTGTAGTTTATCGTTTTTAGATATTGAATTTCATCAATTAGTGGTGGGTCACCAGGTTTCTTGGTTTAGGTATTTGAATATGTGAATGTCAAAAGGTGACAAAATTATATATTCTTACGTATAAATAATTTTTGAATTTTGTGCTAAAGTCATCTCGCTTAATTAACCGACAAAAAAATAACGTTAATTAGCGTGACTGCTGACTTTATTGCACGATCGTTTCAACAGTGTTCAGATACTTAAAATCTTTTCATCCTTCGATCGAATAGATGGATTAGTTCGAGCCACTTTCGTAATGAATAGAGGCCCCAGCAGGAGTCGCATTCATTTCACCGACAATCATTTCACCGACAGCGACAGGGTCATTTCGCAGACAAATGTTTCGCCGACAATTATCTCACTGACAAGGGAATTTAGGATAATAGGATTAGAGTTAGGGTTAGATAAGAGAATTAGGGATAGGATTAGGGTTAGGTAAGAAATTAGAGTTAGAATTAGGGTTAGATATGGTTGATTAGGATTTCAAAACTGTCTGTGAAATGATCCTATCGTGAAATGATTGCCAGCTGGGTATTCAGGTGATCATAGTTTGATAGAATTTACTTTTTTTTTTACTTTTTTATCAGTTTTTTATTCTCACTAACTATCCGTTTATGTATTAGTTATATCCTGCTGGCTAATACTAGGATCGGATAAATGATAGACCGATTTCCGACTCTAAAGTAAAATTTTTAATTAGCAAAGACATAACACAACAGTAAGAGTATACAGTATATTATCAAATTCTCATGAGTGAGTAACTGAATATAAAGATAGTAATTTTATTGTTGAATCCTATTTCTTTCGCTTGATTTTTTTTTTATTTTTCCATTTAAAAAAACGAGTAAAAAGCTTCAGCCTTCAGAAGTACCCCGAATATATAGGAGATCGGCACACAATTACTATTAGCTCTACGCATTTCTTCAGGGCCGGCACCATGTAATTTAGGTCGGCATTATCCAGAAATGGAAGTGATCTACATAATTTTGGCTCATTCTAAGCAAACAACAGAACTATTATTACTACTAGAAAGAAAAATTTTCTTATCTGGAAATGCAAATCTTTCTGAATTATTCGTTTATTATAGTATAATCATTACTGCAAAATATCCTATAAATAAATGCATATAAAATTTGCTTTTGCATAATCGTGTAAATGGTGCCGATCAAAGAGTGATCAGGGGATAATTATTTACGTACAGTAAGTGCTTTCTAAAAATGAAAATAAGAAGTTTTATCAGTATTTACTAAAAAAAAATTCCATGTGCTCCATACATTCATTGTGAAATCAGCTGTGAATAACAAGTACAGTACATTTCAAATACAGAACTAATTTGATTAAATTGGTAAGATAATTTTTTGACAGATAATTTTGTTGGAAAAATTTTTTTATCATGATTTAAAAGAAATTCTTTATAAAGAAAAAATCATCTATCAAGAAAAAAAAAATCTTCCCTATTAAAAATTCTCCAATGAAATTCAATGAAATTCCTTATCAAAAAAAAAAAACTCTTTAATGAAGAAATCTCTCATGATCGTATATGTTAATACGAAGTAAGTAATTGGGTTATAATGCGAAAATCTCGATAATATTCAAGAATCAAAAACCAATTAATTGACACGTTTCATATATTAGTATGTTGTTTGACAAATATTTTCATTTAATTTAAATTCACTTTTTAATATTTAATTTTATTTTGTTTAAGTTGTTTGTCGTTTCCGATTCATAGCTTCAGTTACAATGAACATCGGAAGATTTTGAGAAGGAAAATATGAAAGTAGCAATAGTGAGATATTTTGTATTATGATTTAATGACTATCGGGGAGTTCGGATTACTTTTTGTACTTTAGGCTTATGAGATTCAGATTACAGTCAAACTCCGATGTAACAAAATGTTGAGACCCATATGAAAATCGTCGTTATATCTATTAGTATATCGAATATCGGTATATTAAGATTTGACTGTATAAGATTTCCCGAATTATAACATTTCGAGATATAGGAACCGGTAACACTAAAAAAAAAAAGCGGTATTAAAGTAGTATGGTCGGTCGGGGTGATGAGTAGAGTATGTGATATTTAGCAGTGTGTAACATAAACGGTGTGAGTGTGAACCATACTCAGGTGATGAATAGCATCTCGGCCCACTCCGAATCATGTGTTTGGCCCGTCGTGTTATTTATCACTTGAGTAAACTGTCACATAGGAGTTCATACTCTACTCATCACGCAGACCGACCATACTCCTTTCCGTAATACCGACTGATCACGCTGATCCCTTCCGTAGCACTCCATCATACAAACTCATTAAACCATGATCTAAATGTCGAATGAATTTTTTAAATTCATGAAATTACGGGACGCACTCACAGACATTTAAAATATTATAATAAAATTAAATATAAAATTAACGTATTATTATTATGTCTTTCGCATAAAAATATTTTTTTTGTATTGTCACACCTAATTTAGTAATGATTAGATGTAACCTCAAATTTCATATCGGTTATTTTTTAACCGTGATGAGCAAAAAAACTAGAAAAATAAAAATAGTTTTGCATAGGTAAAATGAAAAAATTAGTGAAATGAGTTCGGTGAAACGATATGATATAGTTTTGTCGATGAAATTGAACCGGATGATCTAACCCAAATAGATTACGTTAGTAAATTATTTACTAAGTTAATCAAGAATTTCGATTTTCGAATCAATGATATTTGGGTCCATGTCGATCCTAAATTGAAAACATTAATTTGACAGATAAGGAGTTCGGAAATATTTCCCATTACGAGAATATTTATTTCATAATCTATGAGACATTATTGAATATATATGTTTATAAAATATTTTAATATTGTAAATCAAGTTTCATTTCATTTCATTTTATTTGTTTGTATTGACTTTGTATGAAATTCCTAGTTTAATAGGTTAATAAAAATAAAAAAAAAAGTAAATATTGTAAATCACTAAAAATCCAATTATTTTTAGGAAAAAAATAAATATTGTTATTTTTTGGGAAACACTCATTTTTTTTTTAAAAAAAAAATCTGACCAAATCGATAACACAGGAAATTGTAAGATATTATTTCTTAAATGAAGTGATTACAAATATATAATATATATTAGCTTAAAATAAGAAAAATATATGTTATCAAAAAAAGAGACTATTATTATTAATTATAATTGGAACTTTGTAATTATAAGAAATAATGTTTTTACCATTATTTGTTTAAACATGGTAAAGAATCATTAAATAAAAAAGGGGAAATTCTTAAAAAAAAAACATCATTTTTAAAAGAAATGATAAGATTTTTTATGTAATTATTGAAGTAAAACAATGTAATGTAAGTTTCGGTAAATTTACTAAAATGGTTAACGGAGGATTCTTGGCATAATGATTTACAAACATCATGTTTGTAAATCTATCATACTGTTGATCAATTTAATTACTAGTCCCTAATGTATAAATGTATTTTAATTTCTTTCTAATATAAGGATCTATCTTTATTTAAATATAAACCTAATTTTCATTATATTTGTATTGGTTATTTTAGTCTAATATTAAAACCAGATTTACATTTGATATGATAAAGGTTCATCTGGATAAAAAAAGAAAGCTATTGCTATGATAACATATGTGGCTAGGAATAAAACACCTTTTAACCAATTTGATTCACCATTCTAAAAAAAAAAAGTTGTTAATATTTACAATTTTAATTAATTAAATAAACGCGTAAATATAATATTATAATATTATACCTGAATGATATAATATGTCATTAAAACTGAAATGAATAATACAATAGTTTCAAATGATTTGAAATATAATGTCATCTCTTGACCCGTTACCCATCCAAGTATAACGAGTAATGGTGAAACAAAAAATGCAATATGCTAAAAAGTAATAGATAAATAATGAATAAAGAATTTGTTTTTTAATGAATCCAAAACAAGGATATTCAATTCATTTTACCATAGAACTACCGGCGGCAAGACTGATAGCAAAATCTAGATCAATTTCATCATCTGCTGCAGAACTAAGAGTTTGTAATAGCTATATATGAAGGAAAACTTACTTTGTTAATTCAGAAAAAAATAATAATAATTGAAGAAAATAATTACCTCCGAAGCTTTATTAACGATAGGTAATATAATTAAACCTATAAAGGCTTTGGTTATTCCAAAGGTGTGAACAATTCCTTCGATTGAACTAACTAGAAATTCAGAAAATGCTACAGCACAAGTCACAGTGGCTAATAATATTAATGATACAACAAGAGGTAGTTTTGGTTCTTTATCTTCTTTATGTGGCCTTTGAAATATATGCGAATGAGTTTTCAACTAAATAATAAATCAATTACATTTTACATGATGAATGTTGTTTTATGAGTTTGATAAAAAATCTTTATCGCATATGTAATATTGTACTTACTTGAAACACAAGATAAAGAATGTAAATTATCAATAAAACCATCGCTGTTCCGTAAGATAAGTATGATAATTGTTCGTTATGATTATTTTGATTAGAACCAAGAGAATGAACAAAAGCTGCGGGAATTATTAAAGCAATACATGCCAAAGTCATTAAAGATGAACTTGTTCGCGCGACAATTTGATTAAATTTTTGTGTTTTACTAGAAATTCCTACTCTTGTAAAACTTATTCCTAAAATTAATAATAAATTTAAAATAATTGACCCAAGAATCGAGTCCTGAACTACTCGTATTTGTCCATCTTTAAGTGCTGATATAGAAATAATTATTTCTACTGTATTACTGAAGGTTGCTAGTAACAAGTCACCAATTGTCTACAAAAATAAAAGAGAAATTATTTATACTATACAAGAAATTTAATTTCTAAATTTAATCTTTTAATTACCTGACCGAATCTTAGGCTAATGTCATCAATTGCATATTCAAATATTATGGCCAATGGAATTATAGCCAAAAAGTTTAGAATGAAAACCCAAGCATCATTCCAGTTAAATGCATGAGCAATGTATCCAAGTGGTATAAAAACTAATAATAAAGCTATCCATGGAGTAAGTATATAGAAATAATGCGTTTCTAGTAATCGAAATGAAGTAGAAGTTATAGAAAAAGTATGTGATACTCGTAAACCCGGAGTTGATGGTATCCAAGAAATATTTGGGCTTTCATTTGTTATACTAAAATTACTATTGTTTGATTTCCTATTTGCCATATTATGAAAGAAAGATTACGATTATTTCCACAATTTGTACGAAAAAATATTTCGAAAAAGAAAAATTTAATGACCTAAAGATATAAAGATAAGTAATTAGGTTATATAGTGCAGATCATCCGAATTTAACCTATCATGATAATCCTCCGAATGAAGATCATTTGTAATACATGTGAATTCATTTTTAATTTTCCCCTCAAAAAAAAATAATTTAATGACATATTTACCAAAAAGAATCTTCTATTAATTTGGTATCCAATTATGTAATAGTATTAAGACATAACTTGAAAATCAATGTGAGAACAACTCAAACATTTCGATCGACACGTCACATGTAAATCGGAGAATAAATTGATGATTGTCATGTATATTTATAACAAAATTTGGTTCATACTACTATCTTACTGTATTATGTATATCACAGATTTCACAGATTTAAATAAATTTGATAACAGTTAGGACCCCGAATGTGCAACTTAATAACGTGATTTTTGCTAAATTAATTCATTGAATGATATTATTGACTTTGATAAGCTGAATTACTATATATAGGAACGATGTTTTGATTATGGTTCATCCATAACTTAATTAACTACCGAATCAAACCAGAAAGTCGTTCATTCTAGCCTAGGGATTGGAACCGTCCAAAAAAACCTTAATCTGTTAAAAACCGGTTAATCGGAACGTTTAACTGGATAATAACCGGTTAAAGATATAAGTTTTACGTTTAACGCGTTTATAAGTTTTATTTTGCCCATTTGAATATTTGATAAATCTATCGCAATTTTACTCTTAAAATTATGCATCATTTATGATAAAAACATATTTTTAACTTTATTCATAAATATTTGATAAATTGTAAACACATAATTTATGAATATAAATACTAGTAGAAATGATAAAATTGAAATAACGAAAACGATTGGTTGTTCTTAACCTATTTTCTCTAAAAAGACTTTATAGATAACATTTCAAGTATTAATTATGATATTTATTTACCTTATTATGCTAGCAACTTAAATACTTTGAGTTTCTTTTAATAAAAAGAAGATTGTTGTCTTGATGACTCAGATTGAGATTCTTATATGTCTCTATAGTCAATATTATCCATGTTGTATAAAAATAAAAAAAAAATAATTTAAAAAAAAAAATTTCGTAAAAAATTGAGCAATAAAAAAGTTTCAATCAGTTTATTTTTTTAGCTAGCCGTTAGCCAATATAGGAATATCGGAGATATAACAATCTTTCATATTTAACCGGCTAAGTTAACCGGTTAATTATTCGGTTACAGCTGTTTTCATAAGACCTGGGACAAAATAAATTTTTGAACCCGACCGCCGACCCGCCGATCCGGTATTTTTAGCTGGGCACGTGATCCAGATTTGATAGTTTGATTTGTAAAATAAATAACTGATAACAACTGAACCGGAGTACTACTCTTCTAGTAATAAAAAAAAAAAAAGTAATAAAATAAATAACAACTGAACCAAATCGGCAGGTCGGCGGTCGGGTTCAAAAATTTATTTTGTCCCAGGTCTTATGAAAACAGCTGTAATTTAACCGGTTCCAATCCCTATTCTAGCCAATACAAGCCTAACAAAGTCAAAATTCAACTTAATTTTAAAGTGGATTTACGTTTCTATTTACTTTACGTATATATATTAGTCTTGTAAATTATATATAGAAGTTGGAACCGGTTATAAATTCAAATATATGAAACCGGGTTTATCCGAAAATCTACCGGTTATTCGGTTGAAAACCGAACTTATTTATAGTCACGTGCTATGTAGATAATATAACCGGTTTTTGGAAATATAACCTCTAATTATATATATACTTGTAAAAATATTTTTATAAAAGCATACTTCATTTCCATTGTTGGTATTACAACTATTACATAGTTTCGGCCAGCATTATCCAAAAAGAAAGATCTGAGCATATAATACTGTATAATATCGGGTATTATTTTTACAATTTTTACACGACTTTTTTTAAAATGTTTATTTAACGTTAAAATATAAAATTACATGTAATAAGCATAAAGTAAATATAGTTTGAAATTTTAATTTAAAAATATTAATTTCATTACCGAAATCCCATTTCAGGGATTATAATCTTCATTGGGGTAAAAGAAGAAAGCTAAAGCTACAATACTATATGTGGCTAGTAACAAAACACCTTCCAGCCAATTAGATTCACCATCCTAAAAAAAAAAAGGTGATGATAAATTGTTAAAACATTTTTACGAAAAAAACTTATCATTAAGAAAGGAATTACACGAATAAAATACCTGAATGAGGAAACTAGTTAACAAAACTGCAATAAATAACACGACAGTTTCAAATGATTGGAAATATAATGACATGTCTACTCCTATTATCCATCCAAGCACAACTAGGAATGGTGTAATGAAAAGTGCGATTTGCTAAAAGAATTTTTTTTTTTTAAAAAAAAAAATTTACTTTAACGTATAATATGTACAAAAAAGAAATAAGTAATTAGTAGTGACTTACCATAGAGCTTCCAGCAGCAACATTGATAGCAAGGTCCATTTTATTTTTCATCGCNGCCAAAAACATTCCTCCTTACCAAAATCTTTGTCCAAAAATATTCAAAAAATATCAAAATTTACATCCAATTAAAAAAAAAAAAAAAAGTGAGACAAAACCGAAGTAACGATAACTACCTCAGCAGCGTTGCCAACAATCGGCAATAAAATTAAACCGACAAATGTTCTACTTAATCCAGAAGATTCAACAATTCCTTCGATTGAATCAACTAAACAATCAGCAGAAAAGGATATAAAAATAGTCACAACGGTCAATAATAATATCGATACGAAAGGAGATAATTTAGGGTCTTCTTCTTCTTCAGATTCTGCAGCGTATAAATCCGAGTGAGTTTTCAACTAAGAATCAAAAACGGAAGTGAGTTAAGGATTAGGATAAAATGTAGCTCTTTAATATACTCACTTGGAAAAAAAGATAAAGACCATAAATTGTTAGTAATACAATCGCCGTTCCGTGAGACAAATTTAAAAGTTCATCTTTACGCTCATTTTTGGTAGTATCAACGGAAAAATTAAAAGCAGCAGGAATAATTAAACCAATACATGCTACAGTCATTAAACTTGAAGTTGTTTGTGCAGCAGTCTTATTAAATGTTTGTACTTTATGATAACATCCTCCACAAACAAAGCACAGTCCTAACACCAGTAATAAATTTGAAACAATTCCTCCAAGCATTGATGCTTGGACAACACGTATTTGTCCTTCCTTAAGTGCAATTATGGAAACAATTAATTCTACTGCATTTCCAAAAGTAGCATTTAACAAACCACCGATCGTCTATAAGAAAAATAATTAAGAATTAAAACGATTTGAACATTTTAATTAATTTATTTGTGAATAAAATAAATTACCTGACCAACTCTCAAACTAATATCTTCAGTTCCAAATTCTAGTAATTTAGCCAATGGAATTATAGCAAAAAAGTTTAGAAAGAAAACCCAAGTATCACTCATTTCCAATGCATCAGCTATATACCCGAGCGGTACAAATATTAATAGTATGTTTAACCATGAATTTTTAACTATAAGTTTAAGAGATTTGCCAAATGTCGGTGGAGGTGGTGGATAGTGTAAAACTGGCGGTGAACTTGGAGGAGATGGTGGTTTATGTGTATCTTTATTTGATGTTGAGCCATAATTCAAATTGGTTGAATTATTATTTGACGACAATGATTTTCCTTCCGACATCGTATTAATGGAGCAAAATATCGAATCAAATAATTTTTTTTTTTTAAAAAAAAAAGAGGATATTTTATACTTCATATCTAATCTCGATTACATAGGCTGAAAAAACGGATCATCATATGACGTCTTTCTTTAATCAACTGATCTACAAACATTGCATCATTTGTGAGTTGTTTATCGTACAAATATTTTATTAGTATGCTAAAATAGTAAGATTAAAAAGAATTTGCCACAAATTCCCTTTATCGGTTGTACAAATCGTAAATACATAAAAACGAGTAAAGATAGATTTTAACTGTTGGCTATGAAAACGTTTTCAATAACTTACATAATAAATCGAATACGTCAAATTAACAAATTAATGTAACTAATTAAAATTCACACAGTATTTGTATAATAAATCTATGATAACGGATAATAATGATCAAAATAAAAACTAATTTTTAATCGATAGGCGTAACTCCCTTTTTGATGTACACCGTAACACAATTTTTTATTCATTGTAGCGTAGATTGTACTTAATTTCATTAATACTTTATCCATTTATTTATTCACTACTAATAAAATGTCGAATAAAGAAACCTAATATCACGAAGAGAACAATGTTAGTAACAATCTCGAATTTTTTTCGAAAAAAATGAAAATTTTTTTATAATAAAGTGACATCACGTGATCTTGAGATAGACATAACTCACATAAGTGTTAAATCCATTTAAATTTACGCCCTTTGATTGTTATTTATTTATTTTTTTTGCCAGCAAAATACATATTCAAAATTTATAATATATTATATTATCTTTGCCATGATATCGTGGTTGGCTGACCACCCGGTGACAATATTTGCGTGACAAATAGGAGTGAAGATCTTACTAATTTTACGGTTTCTAATGACTTTTTTTCGTAAAAGGATTTATTGCTTAAAGTACCAAAATTTTTAAACGTTGTTTACAATTTTACTCCTTAAAATTTCATTGATGTATATGAAAAAGAAAGGTGTAAATGAAGAGAAAAGAGATTTATAAAAGGAAAAAATAAATACTATTGAAAAGTTTAATAAATCTATAAAAAGTTTGTTTAGTCTTAGTGTCACACGATAATATTTGTTGTGGCTCTTGCGCGTGTGCAAATCCTATCCATTAATTTGCTAGCATTGGTTAAGAATTGAAGTTCTAAGATTCGATCATCTAATTTGTATTTGGAACTATTAATCAAATTGAACGTAGTAATTGGAAATTTCTATTAGAAGCTTCAAAACCAAATGTAGTAGTTTCGTCAATAATATTTGAGTAAATTGTACCCGAAATATCATAGGATTACCTTTAGGTATGATTAATCACGTTATAATTAAAATTTCGAATTACAGAATGAATCTTATTTTAAAAGTAATTTTTTCAAAAAATAAAAAGATAACACAAGATGCATAAATCCATAATAATATTTAGTAATAATCCAGGCAAAATTTACTGAAAACCGCTTAGCTGGCTGAATTTTTAATTTAAATTAAATAAATCTTTTGATTTTTTTTTAAGATGTAAAAGTGATAATTTAAAGGACGTTGATAATAAATTTTAATATTTTACGGTTGTATTATAGACAATGTAAAAGAAAAAAATATTATAGGTATTATATTTTATATTATATACATCCAGAGAAATGGGTATGGTACGAAATCCCGAAATCCAAAATCTCGACATGCTCAGAAGGTACAAAATCCGAAAAATTGGCTCACATTAAGCTTTAATCAGTTTAATGCTACCAGAAAGTCGCTCTGTAAGATTTTGACCTGTCGGGATTTTGAACCTTTCGGGATTTTGAGTTTCGGGCTTTTGGTGCACCCTAATTATCAAGCCCTTATCGGGTCTTTTCCCAAATGCCATTTTCATAAAAATTTTTTTAGAAAATTGATCACATATCGAAGTTTTAATGGAATGAAAACTAGAGAAATGATCATTTATCGGAATTTTCCCCAGAATATTTTTTATAGGGTAAATACTGTCTGTATACCATTTCCCGAAGTAAATAATAAGTATAGTTAAGTTATTAGGTATGCACTAGCAATAATTACTGCTTGGTAGATCAGATGATATGGTTCTCATGTAAAATAGTTTACGTACATATTGCAATTATTGCATTATTATTTTTGATATTTTTATATTTATTTAAAACTGTTATTATGGCTACAACTCAATTCTTTGCTTAACATAATCCTCCAAGTTTTCATAAAAATAAGAGAAATAATTCATATAATTTAGGCCGGAATTATAAAATTTGGCCAGAATTATAAATAAAAAATTACAAATCACATGACATGTAGTACATGTCATGTTATTGTCATACTGTAACAGTGTAACTTATAACTCTGGCCAAAATTATGATAATTCCAGATTGTGATCTAACTAATTTAATCAAATAATCTTCGTGCAGACAATTATTTTTTATTCACCGTATGGCCAAACCAAGATGGAATGGTTAAAAAATAAACCTAAAATCATAAAATCATGGGAAATATTTTAGAAATTAATTTTTTTTTTAGACATTGTGATTTATTAAATTTAAGCAAAATCTATCTTGAAAAAAGAAATTTTTATACATTATTTATTATATCCACTAAAATGTCTATTGGAAATGATCGGTTCGAGAAAGAGAATTACTGTAATTTTAGGGAAATGATATATTCGGGAAATGACATTCGAGAAATCATACTGTAAACTTATCAAACTTATGTATCAAATACTAATTAATCTGAGCAATAGATTCTCGTGACATTTAATTATAAAAATGAAAATGTGTGGTCAGAAAAAACACTTCTGCAATATTGAAACGACGTAAATACGATCTTAACATTTGCTAAATGCCTAAATCATTTTCGTTTGAATCGCTTATAAAGCATTTTTATATTTTATTTAATTTACTTAATATTTAACAATTTATATAAAAGTGAGGTCATTGTTGATTTACTAGCTCTATAAAACGTTTTCTGAGTAAAATTCCGATAAATGATCATTTTTCTAATTTTCATTCCAAAAAAATTTTATAGAGTAGATAATAACGAATGCGCTTGCAAGAATAATAAAACTTGACTGATAAAGTTATCAATTCTCTTGTCGGCCGGAGTGATAGTTTCCGGTTGTCATTTGTCACATCTAATTATAAATAATTTTTTTTGACTTCATGTTTTCAACCTTCTCGACCTGATAGTATTTACGCCTGGTATTTTTATATGAATGTGAAATATAATAAAAAAAAATTTTGCCCTGGTGTATGATAATAATCCAGGGGACTCTCCACACATACACCAACGATTCTCAGCTCAGGCACTTAGGATCCTGAATTTCGTACAGAAAAGAATATGTTTTTGACCACTGATTATATGGACATTTCCTTTTTATTTCTTCGTCTTTTTTTTCAATTTTTCACCTTCCCATAATTTTATGGACGATTCCAACCCGTTTTCACTGTACTAGTTTCATTGTATATGGGACATAGTTGCGACCTCTTTTTATAGTGTATAGCGGCGCTTTTGCGTCATTACGTTAGTAGATAATTGTTTATTTTTACTTCATTTAATTTATCGTTATTACTAAAATGCACTATTTATATAAAATCGAACCATAATTTTCATCGTAAGTTATAAGTTATTTATTTGATTCTATTAGTAATTATTTATATAATATTTACATATAATTTTTCACTCGAATTCAGAGAAATTTTTGCCATCTTTTTTTCATGATATTTAATTAAATCGTCCGTCGCGTTTCACTAGTTTTAGGAATGCTAGTGGGACCCAAATGTACATAAAAAGCCAGGTATATCAGAAGACGATTTTCAATCTTTCATACGAAAAGCATTGTCTGAAGCTAACATAAGTGATGGTTTGGTTTAGACGAGGCGAGGATGAATATGTGATTAAAAAGGGGTATGATTTTGAATTTAAACATGATCTTTCCTTTCATAGGTAATCCTGGCCGAAAAGTTAGTGCCATTTTTAGGTACTGGCCGAAATTATCATATGAAAAAATGCGTATACCCTAACTTCAGCCCAATAGGATCGATCATGCAGATTCTTATAGACCATTTTATTTAGGCATACTAGCAATAACACTTGATTGATATAATAAAGTGGAGTAAAAAAATATGGTGTAAATGAATATTTTGTAGGAAAATTTAAATAAAGCTTATAAAGTGGATCAAAAATAGCGTAAAAATGAAATTTATAGTAAGTTAAATAAAACTTATTTATGATATTATCGTTATGACGTTTTTGATCATGTATTAATTAATAACACTTTTATTGGATGTGGGGCTATATTGGTCACAGGTATTTAAATAATAATAATTTTCGCAATATTTTCCATTTCCTAGTTAATTTTTATACTTATTATTTTTGATAAACAATAGATTTTAAATTAAATTATTATAATAAATACCTTATAAAAAATATTAGTAGATGATTTTTGTAAAAATAACGGTAATGAATTTCAAGGATTTGAGAGAAATGTAGACTTACAAAATAATTCTGGCTATAATTAAATTTTTTCTTACCTCTAATTTTTTGATTTGATCTTATACTGTATATGTCATATTGTAGTTGGCACGTTGCTCTGTATAAATTTAAATGCCGATATATAACAAGAAGAGTAAATGTTTGGTTTTGGAACATCTATAGAGATTAACCATAATTCCCAATTTGGATGGACGAAAAAAACCTCGCAGATAATTTTATATATTGTTAGTATGAGTGAAACTAACGTTTTTTAATTTTTTTTGGCGGGAAAATCGATTATTACATATTACAAGAAGCTAGTAGAACAATTGCCTTATTATTCCTTTGCAGATTATACTCGTTCGTTTGTTGATATCGATGATGTAAATAATGGTAGGTTTGATTGATAAACAACCTTTTACTTACATTTATTATTGGAAAAATATTGATAATCAGAAAATTACTGTAAATCTTGTTCAGCAGAAATGAGTGGTATAACGAAAAATACAATTTGTTAAAGATACATTATCTAAAAAATCAAAAATCTAAACTTAAGCAA